CACTAAATGGAGGTTGCATCACTCCTGAAGGTATTAGCTCAGATTTCTCATACGCTCTTCATAATGTTACAGATGTTGTGTTAACATTTCCGAAGAATGCAATGCAAAGAACGGTTTTAGAAAATCCAATGCTTCGAGGTCTTCAGGTCACTATAGATTCCAGAAACTTCCCCGATCAAGCGATGACCACAGTGGGTGACATATTCTTTACACGTATGCTTCAAGCTTCTGATTTAGATGGAGTGAATGAATGCACAGAAGAATACGAGGACTCATTAACTAGACCACTGAATGATGATGATGGCACACCATTAGCTAGAACATGGAAAGACCAAACTTCATTCTTATGCACTATTCCAGTTCAACGTGATGGAGCGGGTATATTCTTTGATGGATTAGAAACTTTCAACTCACAAGTTACAGTACAAGTGAAAGCTTATCCAATCATTCAGGGTGAAAATGACACTTACTGTTCAAAAGTGACAAATCCTCCTCAGGTTTGGTTTACTAGGACTACATATTGGACATGGACACCGGATGAAGGTTTGAAATATCATCCAACAGGTACACCACCGCAGTATAGAAGTTCATATGATGAAATATTGATGAATAGAAATGTTTAAAATTATAAATTTATTTTTGATTAAATGGATTTAAATTCATCCACCCCTTATGAAGAATTAGCAGGAGTATATAATACATACGTAGATGATATGATTAATGAAGCATTGAGTGATAATAGAAATGCTCTATCTAAGGAAAAATTAATGAAAATTCCATATTCTGAATGTTACTTAAATTCAATCACTGCAGCAATTGGTAAACAAAATAAAGGTAAAACATTAACGATATTAAAACAAATTATCATTATTGCTAACACTTCACCCTATTCACATGTGTTAATTTATATCAACCGTTCAGGTTCACCTTCAGATGATACATTTGAATCTTTAAAGCATTTAATCAAAATTCCAATTATTTATTTATCACAAGAAGAAGCAGAAGATTATTTAAAAAACTTTGTAATGTATAAAGAATTATATAATACAATCAAGAAGCAAGGATTAGAGGATAAAATTATTGATAAACAACGGGATGAATTATTTGAAACACTTTCTATTTCAAATTTTGATAGAGAATTTTTGCATTCACTCATTTTTCTAGATGATGCGGTGAAATCAAAACTAATAACTAATGAGAAATCATATTTTAATCAATTATTAACTCAATGTCGACACATTCAGTGTTCATTCTTCATGGCTGTTCAATACTTTAAAGCATTAAGCACAAACATTAAATCAAACCTGTCCACCCTTTTCATTTTCAGTGGTTTTAGTCGTCAACAGTTGAACGTTATGCTTTATCAAGTGAATTTACCAATGAGCATTAATGAACTTTACACACAATATCAACAATTAGGAGAACATGGAAAAATAATAGTTGATTTAAATAAAGGTTCCATTAAATTCGAATAACTTTTTATAATTAATTTTTATTTTTTATTTATAATTAAACATGACAGAAATTGCAAATCTTCTACAGGTTCCATTAAAACAAGGAACAAACAAAAAGGGTGCATATAATAGAACTATGAAAGTTCCAGACGGAATGAAAGAATTAGTCCACATTGTTGCCGGTCTTCAAAAGGATGTTAAACAAATGAGAAACGTTTTAACATTACCAGAAGCTCAAGCATATGCCAAACGTCACGGACCAAATTGGGAAGCACACGAAGCAGACATTACGGGTCCAAATGGAAAACCTGATGGAATAAATGAAGTTTTCGTTACTGATGGTCAAGGAAATATTAAAGTCATAAATGGGTATAAATTAACAATGACGGATTATCCTAAACGTAAAGCATATAATGAACATTATCCTATGCAATTTGATGAAAATGGAAAAGCTGTTAAACAATACATTGGAGAAGGTGAAAATGGTCCAATTAATTCATACCGTCATAATCCATATTCTTACTTCAATGAAGAATTAAATGCTATTGAAGAGGGACCGGATGGATTACCACGATATTCTAACCAGTTTGATGGTCAATATGCAAATTTAAGACCTGAAATTCCAGCTAAGAAATTCTTTAAAGTTGCTTTATTCGATCCAGTTTTCGCAAATGTTAAAGATGAACTTAAACAGCAATTCCAACCAATTATAGTAGCAAGAATTGCATCAGGTGCTTTATCTCAAGCATTCAAAGATTTAATTAAGAAACCATTATATCAGCAACGAGGTTTAACTTATGATTTAGTTAAGGAATCAGATAAAAGAAAATTTGAGAAATCAGATGATTATAAGAATGCAATTAATGAATATATTCGGTCTATTAATTTCGATGAAAATGCTAAAAATCAACTTCATGAACAAATACAGGAAATAATAGATTCAAAAGTTCCAGCAAAATAAAAGTTTAAATATATTTTTTTATTCGAATATAAATGAGAAGACGTTTCACTAGTCAAAAGAACACTAACGCAAAAGCAGAGATTACGGTTGGTTATAACGTAAATGATGATAAATCACGAATTATTCAAAATGTTAAAGTTAATGTTAGTCCTGAATTAACAAGGTCAGCAACTCAACCAAATTTATTAACTCGTGACTTACCGAAGAATGAGGAGAATGAAGAAAACCGTGAGAATGGAGACCCAATCATTTTATCTGAACCTGGTAAAGAACCTGTTGAAATTCCCACTTATCCAACATACCCCCCACCTCTTTCATCAAACATCGAGAACCCAGGAATCTACGATTACAGTCGCAATGCGCCATATAAAATAGACATTAATTCTGAATTAATGAAAATTTACCGTGATATCATAACTGATAATTATGATTCAATAATAAATTTAATTGACCAATCCGGTTTAATTATTTTACCTTATGAATCATTAATTCACATTATCGCCATTCTTTGTGATGTTCAAGATTCAGACGTGAAGATTCAATTTTTCATAGATGATGAGGTTTCATGCTGCGGAACAGTTGCAAAAATAAATCCTATAAAGGATATTAGCACAATTAAGATATCAAAGAACGGAACAACAACTGAACTTCATTTAACATATAATGATATTTATAATAAAATAGTTGATGAATATAAAATATCACTTGAAAAATTCTTTGTTAAGGCTATTTAATATTCAAGCATTAACATTATCGAATAATAATCCTTTGAATCATAATCGATAATAATTGACCTTTCACCAGTTTCTATCGTTTGTTTTATTTCTTTTTGTTCCCCACTATCCGGATCGGTCATTGTAATTGTTTTTGTTATAGTATCAGCTTTATCTTTAACTTCAATCTTTTTTCCATCGGGATATTTAAACCAAAATTCCAAAAATTCGATATTGTCAATCTGTTCATATTTTAATCTATCAATTACATTTTTAATACCATCTGAAAATCTTATGAAATGGTCATTATATGGGTTTGATTGAACTAAATTTGAATGAAGTGAAATATAACCTGATGATGAATATGACATCGACTCATATTTTCTGAAAACACTAAAATTTATAACATGAATGAATTTCTTATTCGTTGAATTTATGAATTCTTGAGGTAATCTTATTCTAGTTTTATTTATCACTGGAAAATAACGCTTTACCATATTTTTAATCGTAATAAAAAAATGTCAATTATCAATATTATTTCGAATAATAACTGTGAATTAAATTTAACAGTTAGCGGAATTTATAATGTTACTCTCGTTTCTGTGAGTGGTAAATTTAATCCCATTCTTTTAGACCCTTCAGATTATATATCATTTATTAAAGATGACCATGAGCCGCATAGCGGCGGGGTCGTAGACCTAAAAACGTATGATATGTATATAAATAATGTGATAACGAAATGGGATATTAACATGATTTTAAGTTATTTAAATGAATCATTTATCGTATGGTATGAAGAAAATTTTAAATCAAAACCTGATAAACTTTTTGAACTTGATGAAATAAATAACCTTATTAAATTTCCGCTGAAAATTAAATTTTGTACTCCTCGTCTTCGTTCATTGTTGGGGATATTAAATTTTGAAAAAGATGTTGGGGATGTTTTGTATTCTGACACTGGTTCTAATTTCATTTTAATCAAATGTGATAAAGTTAATACCCCAATGAGATTTTCACATCAAACATTAGACCCTAACTCTTACCCATCAATACAAAACATTTTATCCATCAACTTAAACATATTTTCTTTATCATATCCGTTTCAATTATCCGGGAATTCATTTATTCTTCATTCAAAAGATTTATCAAATATTAAATTTAGAATAACTGACCTATTTGATTGTGATTTAGAATTTATGAATGAAATATTATGGCAATTTCAAATAGAAAAAATAGCTGATGAGATAACAGATTAAATATTTATTTTTAAATCGTAATAAATGATTAAACAACAGCAACCACAGACCATTACATACGCCATATATGCATATAATTCAAAGACGGCAGAACAAACGCAAATGTTGAAATATGGAGATTTGGAGATAGTATTGAAAAATGACCATTTCGAATTCGTTTGCAAAGGTGGTGCAGTGATATCAAATATAAAAGAAATTTTATTTATGAATTCAAAAATTAAAGGAATAACGGATGATATAACATCAATTCCACCAGAAGAACAAAGATATTACGCATTAAATGCATTTCCTAAAGTTTTGAAGATTGGAAGATTTAATTTAAATGAGGAATTCATAAAAGGTTTCCTAAATGACATAATGAAGAAAGCAGATAAGGAATATGTTAACGATGAGTTAGCAAAGAAAGCAGATAATCATTTGTTAACGATGAGTTAGCAAAGAAAGCAGATAAAACTTATGTTAACGATGAGTTAGCAAAGAAAGCAGATAACTTTGTTAACGATGAGTTAGCAAAGAAGGCAGATAAGGAATATGTTAACGATGAGTTAGCAAAGAAGGCAGATAAGGAATATGTTAATGAAAAAGATAATGAAATTATAGAAAGGGTTGAATGGTATCATGAACGGACATCGAAGATTCTTAAAACTAAAGCTGATACAGGATGGGTTTCAGAATGTTTAGACCTTAAAGCAGATATATCATTTGTTAACGATGAGTTAGGGAAGAAAGCAGATAAGGAATATGTTAACGATGAGTTAGCAAAGAAAGCAGATAAGGAATATGTTAACGATGAGTTAGCAAAGAAGGCAGATAAGGAATATGTTAACGATGAGTTAGCAAAGAAAGCAGATATATCATTTGTTAACGAAATATACCAAAGTTTAGTTGGAACAAAAAATATTGAAACTATTGTTGGCGACTTTTCTGTCAATGAAGAAAACAAATATTTTAGATGGGAGTTTGTACAGTCCTTAAGAAATGGTATACGGTATAAACTCATTCCGAAAAATAACAATGAAATGTATGTAGGCTATATAAAGAATAATGGCACACAAGTTAAAGTTCCATTAGACAACAACTGCTACTTAAACTTATATGGAGACGAACAAAAGAAATATTTAAGAGTTTATGAAATGACGGATATGACATTGTCTAACGTAGCTCCAGCACCGTATTATTATGACTATGGTGTTGACGCACATGTAGACCCAAAAAAGCAAACATTATATTTAGATTATTATAGATATAAAAGATATAATGCAATAGAAAAAACGAGAATAGTATACTATTATGAAGATGACAAAAATAAATATTATAGTCAAGATTTTACATACCCTGAAAACATAAGATTATATTATAAAAAATATTCTGACACAAACCAGAAGAAACCCGAAATAGTTACACTATATTTTAAGTTCAAAAGAGACAATCCTATAATATCTCATATGTTTGATTTAATGAACCCAGTAGGTTCTATTTATACATCTATGGATGTGAGAGGTCCTCAAGCAATGTTTGGTGTTGGTGCATGGGAACAAATAGTCGACAGGTTTTTGTATTGTGCAAACTCTTCAAAGGAAACAGGGGGAAGTAAAACAATTACGGGTGAAAATTTACCTGCACACAGTCACTACATAGATTTAAGCACATCTCAAGCAGGTTGGCATAAGCATAGATATTGGGATTGGTCAGGAATGACAAAAGGTAAAGGATATGATGTTAAAGATGATGTTAAATTTGCCATAAATTGTTACTGGAGTGACACTCAGGGAGAAGGAAACCATACACATCGCGTTTCAGGATATACACAAACAACGGGACAAAGTAAAGATTACATGCCACCATTTATGACTGTATTCGCATGGTATAGAGTTCAATGAACGCTCAATGTTTGTGAAACAAACTTTAGGAGCTCCAAAAGAGCAAACAGCATAATTTAAATTTTTATTTTAGTATAAATGAAGATTCTACCATATGGTGTTATTGGAAGAGATAAAGATGGAAACCCAATATTTGATCCAAAGTTAAAATTAAAGTTACTGACAAGACAACAACTTGAAAAGTTGCTGAAACCAAAACAGAATGAAAAATGAGAAAATGAGAAAATGAGAAAGAAAAAAAATTTAAATTATGCAATTTTATTTTTATCATAAATGACCAAATTAATTAAGCCAACTATTTCTAAATTAATGATACCAATGAAATCATTTCATGGAGTACTTATCCCAGGTTCTTCACAATTAGCCGGGGCAAGTGTTGTGACTCAAGGTGGAACATTAGCGAATCCATTCAAATTATTAACTAAAGATGAACTTAATAAAATGATGATAAAATAACTGATAACAAAATTTTATTTCACTACTACCATAAAAACAGGTGAAAAAACAGGTGATATCTCACCTCTTCACCTAAATTATATTTTAGGTCAAAGCTTCCACGAGAGAAAAGATTCCTCATTCGCTAAGGATTCCAAAAATGAAAAAATCATTGATTTCGGCTGAGAAAAAACAGCAAAACCCTTCTTCCACGGGAACAAAGAAATAAAGAAGAAATAAAGAAGAAATAAAGTAAATTTTTATTTATTCCCGTGGAAGATAGAGCACTTTTATGATACTTTTTATTCACGACAAACAAGACAAATAAAGAAAATAAGAAAATACGGCGCTGTCGCGGTTCGAACCACAGACCTTGACCCCTCCATAACACCACCTTAGACCACTGTGCTACGTAGCCTGTCGACATAAGATTTTATAAATTGCATATTTGACGTAAATTTATTTCCCAGTTATTCAAAAATAATTAATTATTGAATAACCTAAAAACATTCACGATAAAATAAGTGATAACAAATTTTTATTTTTATCATAAATGAATACCCCACAAGCTCAAAATTTACCACGAATCATAACAAGGGAGGAAATGATAAAAATGATGCAAGAACATGTTAAAAATAACAAACCACTAAAATTGAGAAAATGTGGTTATGCGGTAATGATGGAAAGAGAGATGTTGTCGAAGAGGAATAAAAATTAAATTTGGATAGAGTTTAAAAATTCATCTTTATTAAATTCATCTCTTCCAATCAATTTATTTATTCTATTAAATTCTTTTATTTTTGCTTCACTCAGTTTAAGGATTGAACGATAAGTTTCTAATTTTTCGATTATTTCTTTCCTCTCTTTATCGTTTTCAACCCCACCACATTGTGGCTTCTTTTTGTAATAACATATTTTTGATTTAATTCTGTTTAGTTTCTTTTTATATTCATCGTCTGGACTCTTGACTGCTTCGTTGTTACTCATTTCTTACGAAATAAAAAAATTAAATATTATTTAAATATAATGGAGTAATAAAATAAATCGGAATTTCTATTAATTTATTGTCAACTTCAACTAATGCATTGCCGTTAATATATCTAACAAATTCAGCTATTGTGTCAAATCTTCGTCTTCTTTTTGTCATTGATTTATCAGTTTTTCCATAATCGAGATGAATCAAAACTTTATCCCCTTGTTTAAAATTCATGAGCCCCGAATTAATTTGTTCACGTTTAACATCATTCAACCTTTCCATTTGCTTTCTAATATATTCCCATTCTTTTGAAATATCATTTTTCATTTCCACCGGTTTCATGTTTATTGTTCTATGCCATGTATTATTGTAATAATATACTAACTGCTGTATGATGGAGTCATGATTTCCATCCCAGTATATCTGACCATTAACCCCTAACGCATCTCTAAGAGTTCTCATTACCGCATCAACTATTTTATTATGAAACGTATATGGAGAGGATGAAAAGTAAAAATTAATTTGTGGGAAATAATGAGCCATAGCTGCCTGAAATCCTTTATCACCATCACCCCTTATATTATCTACTCTTTCATGATCTAGTAAGTATTGAATAGCTCTTCTTGTTTCCTGTTCTGTTTTCCCTTTCACCGGAATGCAATATAAATATCTGGTGTTAATGTTAATGGCAAATAAATAAGTAACGTTTCCTCTTGAATATTCTAAATGATCGATTTCGTATGAATATGGATATGGTGCAAATGAAGGGCGACTAAATTTTTCCTTTAACGGTTGAATTTTTGGGTCAGTTGGTTTATTTAATATTTTGAAATCCTTTTTAAAATCTTTTTGCTTCTTTAATGTTTGAAATGGATATAATAAAGTGAATGATGAAGGATTAACTGAAGGAGGAGGAGGTACTGTCGTTGGAGGGTTTGGTGTTGCAGGTGGTTTAATTTTATCTGCTTTGATTTTGGATTTCATTCCCCCTTCATTAATTCTGGATGTATTCTATTCATTTGTTTTAAATATGCTGTATATAAAGGTTTGATATACTTTCCCGCTTCGAGTTTATGTTGAAGGATGAATTCCAAAAGTTGATCTTCATTTAAAAGTCGGGCTGAATATGGTTTAACTAATGAATCATAAATTAAAGCTTGTGCTTCATTTATGGTCTGAAGGACCTGGGCGTTTTGCACCTTTTGTTTTTGTTCCTTTGGTTTTTGCGGCTCAGGATTATATAATTTATATAATTTATATAATTCATCAATATCTTCTTCTGTTAATACTTTATTTTTGAAATCTTTCAATTGTTTAAGTTGTGATTTACTTTTTCCCTTTGAATATTCATTATTTTTAATTTTGTCTTTAATTTTAGAAATTATTTTATCATGATATTTCAAAACTTCATTTTTATAATACGAATAATAATAATCCATATCATCACCCGTTATATTGTTATCATGTTTTTGGAGATATGATTTTAATTCATAATAATTAAGAAAATTTTGATTAAGTACTAAATCATCAATTAAATTTTTTAAATCTACGCTATTCATTTATATAAAAATAAAATAAGTGTTTTAAGGGTGCCCGCCTCTTTGAATCATAGTATCAAAACCATTATTTACGGTTCCTTTTGTCTCTTCTGTGGCATTTTATTAAATAAATGGCATACAACATCCATTTTCACAACATACAGCCTTAGTGTGTGCTCCTGTTAATGCAGTCTTACCGATTGTTAAGCGAGTCATTGACCCGTTTTTAAGTTGTAAATTAATATTCTGACCATCAAATATCACTTTATCATTTATTATATCCAAATAATTTTTAGGTGTTAATTGTTTATTTTGTCGTAAACTAACTCCTTTCATTTTTTGTGCAATCTTTTTAAAATCACTTCCATCAATTGAACCGTTGAATGAAGTATAACACTTAGGACATAAAGCAACCATGTTATCACCTTGTTTCTCAATTGCTAAACCCAATAACTTCTTCTCATGTGCTTTTTCTTCAGCTTTATTCTTTAATTTAGGTTTAAATTTCTCATTAAAACAGAAGAAATCAAAAGGTGCGAATTTGTAAATGTTTTTATCATAAAATTTTTTATCGGTTACAATTGCTTGAAATGCTTGAGTGTTAGGAAGATTTGGGTCGCCAGCGATTGCCCAATAAGATGAATCAGTATCACCTTCAATGAAATGAAAACGATTAACATCCATGCATTTATACATAAAATCATAAATGAAAACCAAATACCAGTATTTTGCGTTATCTAAAGTGAAGAATGCCTCTTGTAAACATGTATCACATCTATAAAATCTATCTTTAAGCATCACTTGATACGTATCCTCTCCTATTTCTCTTATGTTTTTAAACTTATTTGACATACATGCAACGCGTGCCTTCTGTGCATTCATTATTTTAGTCTTTGCGTAATTTTGTGTATTCATTGCATCGTAACCATATGATCCATTAAGTGAAATCTTGCAAAATAAACTTTTTCCTTTATTTCCTTCTAATTCAGCCTTTTGTCTTTCGTTCATAAATTCATTCGCAAATTCATTAAAACAAGTATTTTTCGTAAATGTTAAAATTGATTGAATGTCATCAATGATAAAATGAAATCTGTCTATTAGATACCAAAGATAATAAGAAGAAAATGGTTGATATTGGTTGTGTGTTGATGCTAACTGAGTTAATTTCCTCTGTTTCTGGTCAACTGGTAGATTGTTTGATTTCATGTAATTATACATAAAACCACCAATTGTTTTTTCATCTGTGATAATATCAAAGTTTCTTATTATTGGTAAAAAGTTTATGTAATCATTAATGTATTTTTCATCAATGTGACCCTTTACTTCAGCCACGAATAAAGTATTTTTCTTCTTAATTATTCCCAGTGCTTTTGCTTTCTTTGTTGCTGTATCACAAATGATAACACCATTCAATCTTCCCGGCATATACATTTTATGGTCAGTATATTGAATGAAATCATGAGGATTAGATGAAAATGATGAAGGATATAATGAATTAAAGTCAACACCAACGAAATGAGTCATAATGTTGGAAGTGTCCTCATTTGATACAGTTTTAGTTTCTGGATTATATGAAAGTTTATTAATGTGCGTGATTCCTTTAAGATTTACTCTATGTTGAACATTTGATAAACCACCAGTAATTCCATTACGGAGGATGTGATAAGCTTCAACTGAATCTAGAGTCATTGGTAAATTATTTTTTAATGTATAATTTCTTAAATTGATTCTTAAACGTTGAACATCTTCATCTTTATTTGATTTTACGACATTGCAATAACAACACATTAACTGACAATTTTCTTTGGTATGTGGTTTTTCATTATCGATTCTATCTAATGTTGGTTTATTAGCATATGTAAACGCTTTACCACACATTTTGCATTTAGATGAAAGGATTAAATCGTGATAGTATTGATAGTCATCCATTGAAACATTGTTTTTAGTATCCCTTTCTGCTTTTTCATCTTGTTTCTTATATGAATCAATTTTATATTTCCAATACTTTTTTGTTAATTCAAAACTTGATTCCACATTTTCTTCTTCTGGATATGTTTCGTTAGGATTGAAGTTCTTATATGCTAACGCGTAACGAATCATTGATGCATTCGATGATAAAGAAAGATTATGAAGCATGTCAATTTTATAAACAAATGTTTCTTCAATAATTTTATCAATTGGGTCAATCATAATTTCAACGTCTTTATTGCAATAATGAATAAAATATTCTAATCTATTCTCAAAATTTTTAGCATCATTGAGATATATTTGATAATCTGAATCGGATATTGTTTCTTGAGTTAATGCTGAATAAAATGAATCTTGAGTGAATGGTTCCACTTTATATAATTCATCTTCGTAATTCTCCCATGTGATGAATTGATAAGGGAAAAAGGATTTAACACGTGATTTATTGTTTCCGAAATCTTGAGTGAATTGGTCTAATGTTCCACCCGCTATATAATTTCTGATGTCAATAAATCTTAATTCATATGGACAGTTTGTTTTCTTTACAATGATTTGCTTAAATTGAGAAGAAGAACCCAGCATTGATTTTATTTTCCATTTTGCAGTGTTTAAATCACGAAGAATTAAATTTAAATCAAACTTTCCCGAATTAAAACCTATGATATTCACTTTATTGAATTCCTCATCTAGAAGTTCTTTAAATGCTTCCTTCTGTTTTTCATTTAATGTATGGGACAAAGTCCCCGCCGTTTGGTCCGTTTGCGGCTTCATTAATTCTTCATATTGTTCAATATTTGATTTAGCAACTAATGAACAGGTTGAAAATAAAAATTCAATCCAATCAGAGATGAACGAATCACTTGATGTTAAGCAAAAATTCCTCGTAAATGTTTTATCACGGTCTACGACCTCGCCGCTTCGGTCTGAAAGACCTTCAGGACTCAAAGAGTCCGTTTGCGGCTTTATTTTGACAGTTGATGATACCATAAATGGTTTTAAGTAAGCGTTCAAAGTTGCACATTCAGAAAGTTGAAGTTCTTCTTTAGTCTCTAATGTTTCGAAGTCAAAAGTAATATAATATCTTGTTGGTTTATAATATTCCTGCAAATTATGTGCTAATAGCCATTGATATATCTTCTGTTTCGTGATATGTGGTGCATATGGTTGTTGTGTGTTTTGCAATTGAACGTCTTGAATTAATCTTCCATTATTTTCTTTACATTTCTCACAATGCTTTAAAAATCTTCTTTGGTTTTTCCTTTCTGGGTCATCACGGATAGAATATACTTCTTCTTTGCAAAAGGGGCAAACTTTATATCCTGTGAGTGCTTCAACGTCTGTAATTCTGTCAGCGTGAAGTTTTCCACATGGACTCTGTGTTAATAAAATATTTACTGTTTCAAATTCTGGATCTATCATTATTGATTCCACTAATGGAAAGTCTACCTTATTTATGTCTACGTCTTCTGGTTGAGGGTCACAATAATAAAAATCAATATTAACGTTTAACATTCTTGCTAACCTCTCACTTTCTGATGAAATGTCAAATCCTTCATATGCATCTATGGCTTCATTTAAATAACTTCTACGAGTTTTAGGATTAACACCATCAGGAATGTTATAGAAGCGTTTAAATAACCTTCTACCTTCGGCTCTTATTTGATTATCATTCATTTTAGCTGTTCCGTTTTTGTTCATTTATGTAAGAATAAAAAATTAAAAAATAAATAAAAATAAAGTTTATTTTTTTAAAGTCCAGGGCTAAAGTCCATAAAATGAATTAAGAACACATAAATTTTTATCATCTGCGACGTGACGAATACATTTTAATTTACTCAAGAATGCGTACCCTGATACATTAAATCTAATTCCTGTCTTATTTAATTTCACAACTTTGAAAAGGAATGTATGAATAGCTATAAAATGATGAGATGATGTTTTATGGGTTGCTTCCATTTTTTCTGAAATAAATGAATAAATATAATGTTTATAAGTTTTCATATCTTTTATATTCTTAATAACGAATGGTATAGACCTTTCAACTTCGTCTTCCTTCGGTGCTGTTCTTTCATATGAAACATTATTAGTATCTTCAATAATGAAACCACAATCGCATAAAATTTTATATGTACCAATTGTTTCTTTTGATATTTTATCTAACAAATCAAAAACTTTATCAACACCTGCACATTTATTTAAATAATAATTTGTGTAAATATCATGGTCTTCTTTCTTAATCGTATTTGTTGCATATGTTACATTTTTCAGTGCTTTTTTGAATTTTTCAGAATCAAGAGGAGGTGAAAGTAATATACATGGATAATCTCCATCGTCAATAAATTGTAACTTATGTTTATGAATAAATTTGTGCCTTCTTCTGAAAGTGTTTCATCTATTTCACCATCTAATAAATTTTTAGTAGATTCCAAAAAGTAATTTTTATATCTTTCTTCATGAGATTTTTGAACTTCTGATTCTGAAGCTGGGATATTCATTAAACCCTCTACTTCATTCTCATTATATTTTTCAACTCTCTTAATTCCTTAATTTTTTCATCTATTTCATTCTTATTTTTTCCAGTCTTTCAATTTCATCAATATTCATCATCTTTAATCCGTTCTTCATAATATTCAGGGAAAACATCAGGTTCTTTAGGTTTTTCTTCTTCAGATGTGGGATATAAGAAATTTATAATCATCTTTATTCATTTTCCATCATAATCTAAATCATTTAATAACTCCGCGAATTTTTGACAATTTCTTAAATAATATTTATTAACTTCATAACTCGCCTCCTCTAATATATCCTTTATTTCCTCGTTTGTGAATCCCAATTTTTTAACGTCGTTAGTCTTGACACTCATTTTCATACGAATTAAAAAAAATAAATTATTTCAAAAAATGTAAGACATGAATTTTTAAAGTTTATTTTTCATTCATGAATGATAATTATATCTGATTTCTTTTACTCTCTCATACATACTAGATTTGAAGAATTCGGAACTTTTACCATAATCTCCTAAATGTTTTCTTATCCCCAACGTGTGCCAGTTATTATATGAAACTGAATAAACTTTATCTTTATCTTTACACCTTTCATCACTTCCAATATATTTATATCTCAGTTTTGATTTAGCATTTTCATATTCATTAACGTTTAATAATTCACAGTCTTCCTTTTTAAATTGATGTTTAAGATATTCAGGATTTAATACTCTACGTTTATATGCTCCTAACTTAGTTCTAAAGGTTTTTCTACAAAATTTAGGAATTCCATCCTCTTTAATGTCATCAATGATTTCCATTTCATTATTTTCAATTTCTTCTTCTCGTTTATGAGGTCTTTGATTATGACTCCATTGATTCCATGAAATTAAATATTCTTTATCATTATATTTATACCTCATTAGCTTATTTGGCTTTCATATTCATTTAATAATTCACAATCTTCATTTTTAAATTGAAGTTTAACCCATTCAGGATTTAAACAATGTTTAATTAATCGCGGAATATCTGACATCATCTATATATAGCTTCTTTTATAAAAGATAAAAAAATAAATTATTTTAAAATTAATGTTAATTTTTTTAATGATTTATAAATAAATATATTTTAATGCATCGTCTATATATAGATGAAACAAAAAAAGTCACTAAACCCGCACTCATATACTACTAGACACCATGGTGTCTTCAAAACGCTAATTTTTGATATTTTTAACAACCCTACATCATTACTCACCACTTTCAAGTTTTTCATACATATATCTTACCCATTCATTTGGAATACGAGGTCTCGAGTTTTCGTTCATTTTTTTACTTTACAAAACTGTTCATTTTTCAGAATTTTTAAATTTGAAAAAATCCATTCTATATCTGATAAATAATATATTATTTTTCAATCAAAATATTTTGATTATCATCTCAAAAGTGTTCTCAAAACCTAGTTTTTCTTATTTTGGATAATCTTAATATTTATATTATTATAAACTAATTGAACACCATATGTTTTTGTATACTTTTACAAAAAAATTGATAGATTTGTGATACTTCCCCCGACGATAGAATTGAATAGCTTACATTTTGACAGAACTTAATATGGAACAATACCATGATTTAAGAAATATATATTTGTTTGTGCTTTTAAATTTTGAAAGTTTAAGAAAAAAAAATTCTGACTTTGACTTTAAAGTTAAAATAATTTTGTATCCCTGCTAGCGGTTTGACATTTTTTTTATGCTTTGGTTATTCAACCTCGCAATAAATACATATTACATTGTTAAAGACCAACCTACTGAAATCAATGTTAAAGATGATTTTATTATCAATTTATCACAAAACGCATATAGTAATCTCTTAATATGCCATGGTTCTGATGATGATTGCATATTTGACCTTGATATTTATAAATTTAAAAGAGCAAAAATTGTATCGAAAACAGCTCAGTATCTATTTAAGGGAAAAGGAATTGATAAAGAAGTTACTTTTACATGTACTTGGAATTTCTTCGAAGATAGTTTAGCTCTAATTGATCCATTACCTGGTGACTATGTAATCAACACTTCAGTTTCCGATATTCACTTCATAAGTTTAAATAAGATGAATATTTATTATAATCAAAGAAAAGTGAAAATAATAGAATATAAAAACATCGGCCCTAAGACAGTCAAGTTTAAAGTTGTACAAAATGCATTACAGAACCAGGTAACAACTACGCCTGCATTCTATGGAAATTATGAATCTGAATTCAAAAGGGATACGGATTTTTCTATTATATTTACAGATGCAATGTTTAATAAAATTATCACGTGTCAAATTAGCAATTCAAGGAAAATAACTATTTATAATGATGTCAAGTCTAATTATATTTTCTATTTATACTTTCAAGATATAAGTGGTTTTAATTCAAACGAAATTCAGTTAACAAACTTTGTCGAGTGGAAAAATTATACGATCACTTGTAATGGGCAACAAACATTGAGGTTCAATTTATTTTCTTCATTTTTCTACAATAATAATATTGGATGTCTTTTTAAAAATTATATAGCTAGAGATTTTATTATCGATCGAAAACCGAAAAATTATGATGTCTTTGTTTATAATGAAATTCCATTTCAAATTGAAGATGTAAGTTATAAAGCAAATACTTTTTATGAATTACCTATGAAATTTATAGGTAGTAAATGGATTTTTCCAAAAATGTTCCCTAAAAATCCTGCAGATACAATCCCTTCAAAAGTAGAAGTTTTTAGTACAACACAGGAACCAGTAACAGATGACCCAATGCCCGAACCTTCTCCTAATGAATTCAAGTGGTATACAATAGGTCTTTTTACCCACAATTTTGATACGGTTAAATTTTCTACCATTGTATTTGATTTTTATGATACAAACATCATTACAAATCATAAAAATTTTGTTGATGAAGGCGGAAATGATCTTAAATTATTCTATCCAATAGGATCAAAAATAAGATTCAAAGCCAAAAACAGTCAAAAGAACTTAATGAAAGGATTTCAAATTTCCATAGATGAAAATTTATCGACTGCAATATTGATAAATTATTTTGGGAAAAATGTATATATAACAGCAGAAAAAACATCATTGATATTCATATCATCAATTAAAACAGATTTATTTATGAATTCTGAGTATCCTGTTGGTATTTACATTGATCAAGCGCAAAGTGATCAAGGTGGATCATGGAGTAATTACAATTATTTCCAAATGCAGACATCTCGGCAGCAAACAATAGGTTTAACTTATATCAAAAAATCGAAGAAAACAGACAATATAGAAAATGATGAGTTTTCAGGCATATTTTATCCTCCACATCGAAGACATTCTGAACCAACAATTGAAGACTTCAATCCATTATTTGAAAATATGACACTTAATCTTCCATTCGGAAAATATAATGTTTGGCCAATCTATGATGGTATAGAAGTTAATTGTAGCGCAGATACAGGCCTAATAATTAAGTCAGCTAATCTCTATGATATCTATTTCTTTAAACAAGAAAAATTACAATATTTGAGATTCACATCAAATTTCACACTTTTATACTTCCAAACCAATAAGCTTATAGAGTCTGCATTTAAATATTCGAACAAATTATCTGTTAAAAGTCAATATTTTGTGGCAATTCCTTATAACTTTTATTCCTATGCTCCTTATGCTCTTCTTTTTCAAACCAATGAAATCAATATTTATGGAAATGAACAAGTAAAAATTTATGATATTTTTACTGGAAATCAGGATCCATGCCCCAGTAAACTTGGTGCTGAAATGGGTGTAGCAATAATTATATTATACCGACAGAAAAATGGAATTAAATACACTTGCATTTGTGGCTCATCCTATTCAGTTAAATCTATTCTATCCGATGGAAGAAATTGGCCAGTGTTATATTCAATACCTGATAATTACTTGGTCATTTATAATAAGGAGATTTACACAAAATGGATTTATAAAGATGAATTCAAATCACATGAATTAATTAATTTTACCAATGCAGTAGGATATGATGTTTTATTGAATCCAGTAAATCGTGCATTTTCAGTTGATACAGAAAAGTTGGATGATAAGTCTAGCTATTGCTACTTTATTTATAATCCTGACATAAATTCAAATCTGACATTGAATATGTTCGATAGTAGGACATCAACATGGACAACAAAGAAAGAGGAAATTGATGTCCAAAAGAAGTATTGCATTAAAAAGTCAGATCAGATAAAAGCAATTTATATTGAAAGCTCAGATTCACAACAACAATATAAGAAAATATCAAATGGTACTTCGATTCTCACTGAAATTACAATAATTTCAAATGGAAACCTAATTCTTCAACCAAACAAGTATTTTATTAAACCTCAAACAATGGTTGCTTTATTCCCAGATTCTGAAAGCGAAAAAATTACAATTAATAATGGAAGCTCTAATTATTTATTCAAAGAAAGCGGTATCATTGAAATATCTGGTGAAGGATCAATTAAAGCAGCAGCATATAGTTCAGATATAGATTCTCAAAAGCAATATGTTCTGAAAGGAAATGGCCAAATAAAGATCGGTACCTCTGACAAGAATGATATTGTATTAACATCTGAACCAATATCCATTTTAGTTTATTCTGTTTCAAATGATTTTGCTGCATCAATTAAAGTTTTGTCTCAAAAGCTGATTGTTAGATTCTTCAAACTTGATGGAACAGAATTTACTTTTGGTTTGAGAAGAATCAGAGAAACTGAAATCAATGAACCATTTGTAGTTGTAATTGAAAATAATGCAAGTCCATCAGAAGATGTAAGTTTAACAATAACAACCACATCATCTTCTGATGAAAAAGCCAAAATTATATCAGAAGATGGTATTAAAGATGTCATTGAAGAGCCATTAGTTAATCCACCATCTAAGCCAAATGAAGAAACACCATCTAAGCCAGGCGATAACACATCATCGAAGCCAGATGAAAGTTCACCAGACGATACAAAATCAGAAACAAATGGAAAACCTAAGAAGAGTGGAGGAAAGATTGCAGGGCAAATCATCGGAAGCCTTATTGGAATTTACCTTGTAGTTGCTATTTGTTTCTCAGTTTACTATTATTACACTCGATATTACTTGAAATCTAAGAAAGAAGAAGCTGAAGAAGTAAGTCAGGAAGAAACAATTCTAACAGCAACTAATGAAGTAACAAATGAAAACATCATCACAGTTTTTGATGAACCACAAGATGAAAAATCAGATTCTCTTTCCTTCGATAGTGCTGAAGTTTAAACTGCTAAAAGTAAAAATCAATTTTATTATTCATAATTAAAAAATGACTTATTTTGATATTTAACTATTAATTCGAAAAATATATATATCAAATTAAAACAAAATATTAGAATAGAGAAAAATTATCTATATTTTATAGTTATTTATAAAATTTATTTCGTGAAGCTTTCGTAGCTCAATCGGTAGAGCGTAGGTCTCATAATCCTAAGGTCGCGCGTTCGAGTCCCGCCGAAAGCAAATTTCCTTTTTTCTTTTTTTCCTTTTGCAATTTCTGTCCATTTTTAGCTTATTTTAGTAGTTAGGTCATAGTTCTCAAGCATTTTAGTCAAAAGTCCAGCTATCTATCAAGTTCTCGAGCATTTTAAAGGAAAATACCAATTTTATATTCTCTTATTATTAAATATTATCAAAAATATTTTGGGAATTCATATATATCTAATTAAAAAATAACATTGCACACATTTATATATGATTTTTCAAAAGAAAATATGTTTTACCAAATTGTTGGCTATTTTTCAAAAAATCTAGAGGTAATTCAGTTCATCACATAAAAATTTATTATCAAATATAAAGTTTTAGACAAAAATATTAATAAAAAGAAAAAGATAATTAATTTCATGGCTTAAAATGATGAATAATCAGAGGATTCCTTCTTTGAATGCTTGTGCTTCGATTTACGTGTTGCTGATGATGTTGAACTATTCTTACGCTTTTTAGAACTTGATGAAGATGAAGATGACGAAGAAGAGGATGATTTATTGTCTTCCTCCTTTTCACTTTGATTATCATAATTCCTCTGTACCGGGACATGGTCTAACTTCTTTGCAATCAGCTCAGCTGACTCTTGCATGTCGAGAGAGCAGAATGTTTCATAAGCATTCTGATAGTAGTCATTAGCCTTGCTCTTATCGCCCATCTTGGTGGCAGCATCACCCATTTCATCGAAGAGAGTGGCCGTTTCTGGTGTTGGAGAACCGTTATTTGCTTGATCAAGGTTATCCCAAGCAGTTTGATATCTTTCCATAGCAGCTTTGTAATTCTGTCTATGGCAGTACATTCTCGCGATAACTAAATCGCGTCTGTATAGAAGTAATTTATCATCTGATTCGATATCTTGATATGGCTTCATAATTGATTCAGCATTAGAAAGCTGACGTGATTGTTCTGTTTTGTTAAGTGCTTTGGAGTCAAGATTTGCTGTTGCAAGCTCAATTGCAAGCGCAAGTCCAGAATCACTATCAACATCAATAGATTTGGATATTGAAAGTGCTTTGGAAAGATTCCTAAGAGCGCTTTCTGGTCTGTTTTGTTCGTTGTAGAATTTTCCAAGATCTATTAATGCTTGAAGAGATTCCTGAGAGTTTTCGCCATAAGCAAGCATGCAGAGAGATTTTCGTTGTATTAACAAATTAAATCTTTCGTTATCATCGATTCCATGATTATCTAAACGAATTTGAATTTCATCGAGTTTTTCTTGCGGTGATCTTTTATCTGGAACATGATCAGGATTATTTGAGAAATAGCTTGCTGCAAAGCTATCTTGCCCAGTTGTCTTTGCTGGCCTTAGAGAAGAATATTTTTGTGGTGCTCTCGATAATCTCTGAGCAGAATCGCTAATATCGCGTGAAGACATCTTTTTTGTTGGATAAGAGTCATAAGTTGGCTGTGGAATTGTTTTCCTTTTTGTTGCTTCTCTCTGAAGTCTTCCCGACATTTTTTTTTACAAAAAAAATTTCTTCAAAGAACGTTTATAATGAATAGAACAATTCATGATGGGAGTTTTAATTGCGGTACTCATAAGTAATGTAACATTCCTTTTCATTGTTTCAAAAATGATTCCTGAAATGTCCAGAAGTTGACAATAAGAGTTACTCAAATATATTACTGTACAAAATATAACCACTCTAGCATGCGATGTAAGTATTCAGGTATCCATTTAAAAATATGAAATTTACAATTATATCATTCAATTTTTGATGAAATATAAGGTTTATTCTGATTGAAAAAGATTCCTGGAAGTAAGTTTTAAAAAGGATGAATAAATAATATGGGGAGAAAGAGAATTCTATAAAAAAAATTAGATAAAAATGGAAAGAGAAGAAGTTGACATTTGCCCATTACTCAACAAACGATCTAACAATTTAAACTGCATCCTCTTTGATTATAATAATTACAGTGTTTTCATTCGATAAAATGAAAAATGTTGTACAACATGTATTTTATAAAAAAATGGCAGTCATGAATATAAAGATAATAAAATTATTATAAATGTCTCATTTTGATACATAATATTTTCACTCTTAAATTATTATTAGGGATTTTGGGATTTAATCCCAGTTTGATTAAAACATTTTGTATAAAGAATGCAACCGTTAATTTCATTAAGGTCGAAAGACCGATAATATAAATTGAATTGTCTTTATGTAAACTTCAGAATTTCCCGATAAAAAAAATCATTACTCATCAAAAATTGTCAGCATTGGCAGTTGTAGTTTTTATAACACAAGTCTTGAATCAGCAAATCTGAGCGAATGCAAAAAACTTATAATTCTTAATCAATCTGTTTTCAGATTTTGCAATCTCTTGAAATTAATTACACCCCCTCCAAATATTTCAAGAATTGGAGGTTGGTGCATTGATAATTGTAGAAACATAACATCAATTAATCTACCCAATACTATAATTACAATTGAAAATAATGCTTTTTCTTTTTGCATTTTGTTATCATATATTAAACTTTCAGATAAACTCCAATTTATTGGTATGTTTGCATTTTCTGATTGTTATTCATTAACAAGTATTACATTTCCAGGAAGCCTAACAGGATTTGACCTTTTGGTATTTCAATTAAGTGGATTAACAAGTATTTCATTCCAAAACAATATCAATCAAATAGAATTTGATACTCAACCATTCGCTGGGCTTTTTCCAATGAATATTTATATTCCAGGCAACTTTAATGTAGCATCTTATGATTCAAACTCATTTCCTGAGGGGAGTCATTTATATATAACAAGTAAAACTGTTTTATCAGATTCATGTAGATATCTATTTGGAAGTAAATCAGTGATAGTACATTTCTTAGATATGACACAAATTACACACGAAACAACGAAAAGTGTCATTGACTTCATTGCTATTAAAATAGTATATCCAAAAAGATCCAAAAACTTCATTCATGATAAATCTTCATACTTATTTCTAATAAATTTATTATCTAATGTAAATTTACTATCTAATGAATAAAATTTATCAACATATACATATATAATCATCTCCCTATCATTTTAAATGAATTGTTATATCTCAACTTTTTTATTTTTGAGAACAAATTTTAAAGATTGTTTTATATCATTTCAAGTTGAACAAATGATGAAATCACTATATTTAAAGGAGATATCTTTATGTGGTAAATAAATCTGAGTATATGAATCCATCTATTTACAACTAGATATTTTTTTTAAAAAAAAACAGTTTATACATAAAAGTAATTAAGGCATTCAAACAGATGTTTCTTACCAGCTTATTTTACACCAAAAAATCTTTGAGTAATATTTAATTGTCTTCTTGTAAACTTCAGAATTTTAAAATTCATGATCTCCAAATTTTCATTGCCTGGAAAGAAATAACAAGTTTGGAGTAACTTAGAAGTCATTGCAAACTGACCATTGATTGAATAATACATATTTTCTTATAAATTATCCCAATCTTAATTTTAAATCAATTTGAAATGGGCAAATATCATTAATGAAATTAAATTTAACATAAAACATAATTTGAAACTCATTACAAATAGTACAAATTATTCTCAAGATAGTCAAATCAAGTAATATTTTCGAATTTAAGTCTTTGGATAATTATACATCTAGCTCATATAAATTCATATTAGATCAATATTCAAATTACCTTTGAAACATAAGAATTTTGCAATTTATCATACTAAATTAAAATTTAAGCATGATATTTCTTCTTTATCAACAATCTCAAGCTAATTCTCTTGAATATGGTGACGATAATAAACTATCTGTTGTTAATTGCCCTTCAGACTTTTACGGTGAAGTATTTATTCCTCGTTCTGTCACATCAATCTTTGGCTATAACGCTTCTATTTATGCATTCAAAAAGTGCAAAGATTCTATTTCATCACTTCGATTTGAAGAAAATAGTGAAATTACTAATATAAGCAAATATAGTTTTTATAACACAGGTCTACGATCAGCAAATATGAGTGAATGCAAACATCTTACATTACTAGATACCTCAACATTTGACTCCTGTTTTTATTTGGAAACAGTTATTCTTCCACCAAATATTTCTAGCATCGGTTGGTTATGCTTTTATAAAGATATCAAGCTAACTTCAATTGATTTACCAGATTCTCTAGTTACATTGATATCCAGCTCATTTTCAGAGTCTGGTTTAACAACAATAAGCGTATCACCTAATTCTAAATTAGAAAAATTGGATCTGTATTGTTTTAGCTCAACAAAAATTTCTTCTTTTTTTATACCAAAATCCGTGAAATCGTTAATTGCACCATTCGAAGACTGTTCTCTAAAAAACATAACAGTTGATTCAAATAACCAAAATCTTAAAACTGATTCTAAATCTCTTTTTTCAGGAAAAGATAATTCAACATTAGTATTCGTTGTTCAGACATTTTTAGGAGATTATATTGTTCCTGATTTCGTTACAAAGATAGACGGAAAACTCAATTGAAGTAATACCATTTGGAAAAAATTTGCTCTAGTGGAATAAATTTACCTCCCCTAACACACAAATGATCAGATATAACAAGCACAGATTTTTAAGGTATAGCTTTGTTGAAAACCTTTCAAATAAAGAGAAATTTAAGGAGAAATTTGCCCGTTTGATGTATGGTGAGAAGCATATTTGAGAGTTTGGAGAGGCAAAGTGCAATCACCTATCAATATTGCACTTTGCCTGTCAAAAGTTCTTCGCATCTCTTGAGGTGTGAGGAAGTTTCTCGACAGAGGAAACTTTCATATCGAATGTTGCCTCTGTCGAGATGTATGTGACAGGCAAAGTGCAATCACCTATCAATATTGCACTTTGCCTGTCAAAAGTTCTTCGCATCTCTTGAGGTGTGAGGAAGTTTCTCGACAGAGGAAACTTTCATATCGAATGTTGCCTCTGTCGAGATGTATGTGACAGGCAAAGTGCAATCACCTATCAATATTGCACTTTGCCTGTCAAAAGTTCTTCGCATCTCTTGAGGTGTGAGGAAGTTTCTCGACAGAGGAAACTTTCATATCGAATGTTGCCTCTGTCGAGATGTATGTGACAGGCAAAGTGCAATCACCTATCAATATTGCACTTTGCCTGTCAAAAGTTCTTCGCATCTCTTGAGGTGTGAGGAAGTTTCTCGACAGAGGAAACTTTCATATCGAATGTTGCCTCTGTCGAGATGTATGTGACAGGCAAAGTGCAATCACCTATCAATATTGCACTTTGCCTGTCAAAAGTTCTTCGCATCTCTTGAGGTGTGAGGAAGTTTCTCGACAGAGGAAACTTTCATATCGAATGTTGCCTCTGTCGAGATGTATGTGACAGGCAAAGTGCAATCACCTATCAATATTGCACTTTGCCTGTCAAAAGTTCTTCGCATCTCTTGAGGTGTGAGGAAGTTTCTCGACAGAGGAAACTTTCATATCGAATGTTGCCTCTGTCGAGATGTATGTGACAGGCAAAGTGCAATCACCTATCAATATTGCACTTTGCCTGTCAAAAGTTCTTCGCATCTCTTGAGGTGTGAGGAAGTTTCTCGACAGAGGAAACTTTCATATCGAATGTTGCCTCTGTCGAGATGTATGTGACAGGCAAAGTGCAATCACCTATCAATATTGCACTTTGCCTGTCAAAAGTTCTTCGCATCTCTTGAGGTGTGAGGAAGTTTCTCGACAGAGGAAACTTTCATATCGAATGTTGCCTCTGTCGAGATGTATGTGACAGGCAAAGTGCAATCACCTATCAATATTGCACTTTGCCTGTCAAAAGTTCTTCGCATCTCTTGAGGTGTGAGGAAGTTTCATATTACAATTAAAATTACGATTTATATTTTTATTAACCATTAAACAAAATTCATTTAATTCTTCATTAAAATTTCAAATTGTATTTAATTTTTTAAATTTTCATTTTGCAAAATACCTGTTTGATTCTTATTCTATATCTCACCTTGCATTTAATCCAAATGCTAATTACATTTCAATTAAACATTATCTTCATATACCTTTTTCACCTCTTCAAATTTAATTAATTTCTCTAACTTTTTTTTTCAATAAATGTCGGCATTGGAGGATAATCAATAAAGTTTATTTCTTCCTTGTCCTCATTTATAATAACATATTTTGCATTTTTAACAATTTTGATTGTAATTTTCATTTCTTCATCTTCAAAATCATAGTTTTTAATGCAATACATATAATTATACCATTTTATGATAAGAGAAAAAACTTTTTCTCCTTCATCTCGATTTAATTTTTCGCATAATTCTTCCAGATTTTCAATTGTAATATAATACGAACCATCCGATCCCTCCCAAATTATGCTCAATACTTTTTTTGTGAAATCTAATGCCATTTCACTCTTAAAATTAAATTTGAAAAAATTCTTATAGTATTGAAATGTGGTGATTTCATCAATAGAATTCCGTAATTCCAAACAACATTATTTCAATTATTTCATCGATATTTAAAATTGGAAGAGGCAATTTGAACACTAATTCGTTGCGTATATTACAGTAGTCAAAAATACTTGATTTGATCATAGCTTCAATGCGGATATTATTCTCATTTGAATATTTCATTTCTCCACTTTGGCGAGTTATATAATTTATCTTGAATATAAGATTTAATTGCCTTTTGTACATGATTTTTTTTTGCTTGGCGTAATTTATGAAGAATTTACAGAGTAATTGAATTTGGAACTGAGTAATTTCGTTTGAATTAAGCATATTAAGTAATTTCTCTTGAATGTTTTCAAGATCTTTATAAACTGTTCTAATTTGTCCTTGATAATCTGGTAAAAAATAAATTAATAGTTCAACCAGATTAAAAAAGTCAATTACATTCTTCTTATATAATTGAATAGATAATTCCAAAGTATTAAGTTGCTCAAACATATTACTAGAAGCAAATGTTTGAATTTCTTGAGCATTCATTGGACAATGATTAATTTTTTCTGCGATTCTTATAGGTATTTTCACTTTACAATTCTTACTTCTGTTTGACTCTCCATAAATTTGACTGATTTCGAAACTCATTCCTCTGCGAAAAATGTCACGTTTTAATTTTTTTCAAATGGAAATAAATCAGAAACTCTTTTTGTCTTTGACATCTCTAGGTTACACTGAAACTCAAGTAAGAAATGCTTTAGAGATCTCTAATAACAATATTACAGAAGCACGACAGCATCTCTTTACAAATGTTTTCTTAAATAATCAAGACAAAAACACTCTTCAGTATCTCAATGAAATTGAAAAAGATATAATAAATGATGAGGAACCAAATAATGAAATTCCCGATTTTATCGATTCCAAAGAGCTAATCAAATTTGTCGCTGGATTTGCATTTTGCAGATTAAAATTTTTACGTCAATCCATTAAGGTTATAACATACTTAATTCAGAAACAAGAATTATTTTTAGAATTCAACGATAGTGATGATTATATTAAAGCATTTGTTCAGTCTGTTAATCAATATTTACATAATGATACAACTAATATATACTCACCATATTTCTCATCTTATCCACCACTGGATCACTCTTTTTATGATAATTTAATCAACGATTCATTAGATGTACCAAAATATAAGGGATATAATATCACTTTTATCGGAGAAGAAAAAAACATTCAATTAAAATAAACGAAATTGTAATTCTATTTGAAGCTAAAAATACTATTGCAAAATTGTCAGAGGGCGATGATTTCAATCAGTCCAGATCAAGCTATTCGAGAAAAAGTGAATAAAATATTAAAGCTTACACCTGATTTACTTGGCAATTATTTATATCTCTATTGCAATGTATGTGAAGAAGTGCTTTATTATACACCACAGAAAATTATTCCACTTTTTGTAAAACTTTATAGAATAACATCTATTTATCAGCCACATTCATTCTATTTATCATTTATTATGAATTATTCTGAAACCTTACTATACGAATCAATCATTCACCAAAATGTCACTTTTTACAGAATTCTTGCATCACCAAAAAATGTTGAAAAAGCTTTAAAAAAATACGACGGTTTAGCAAATATTATGAAAGAATGCAAATGGATAAAAAGCCATGACATCCCCGAAAAGTATCAGAGTTCCGAATTTCATGATGTTATGTTAGATAAACATAATGTTTATATCGAATTTTCCAAAAATACAATAAATTACGATAGAAAAAAATCATCTCAATTTATATTGGCAATGAAATGCATTCTCAATTTACTTTGCAGCAAATTCTTGATTTTGTAAAACATATGCCATCATTTTTAAAGTTGAAACAAAAACATACAGAAAGTGGTATTCAAATTTTGATCTTAAATGAGGAAGATAAAATATTTGAATTGGTCAGTGAGGATTGCTATTTATCATTTTCAATTTATATTTGCTCAGAATGTGCATGTGTTAGATCCTATTTTAATATTGAAATGAAAAAGCATGTTTTAACTACAAACTCATCTCAAGACAATATTGAATTTGTAAATAAAATTCTAGGAAAAGAATTCTATTCAAGCTTCAAAAACAATGCACTCGATAAGACATTATATTATGAATATATAAATGATGTTAATCCTCACAGAAATTCAAATGATATTGCATATCTCTTTGATCTAATCCCTGGATTTGTCAAATATCATTCAATTAGTGATGAAATGCCAATCAAGTTTAATAATAGTAATATTCAATGGCTCTTATATCTCCATCCAGAAGTGAAACTTTTCATAGAAAATGCCCAAGCTATCGAACTCGACGCGACATTTCCACTTGATGATTATATAGCTATATACCCCCATATTATATATGGTAACATGGGTTTCCCGTTGGGTGTATTTATAGGACCCTCGGAGTCGGCAAAATCTTATCAATTGATTTATGATACACTTAAGACAATTGTTGATGAAAGTATTATCAAAAAAATCCCATTCATAAACGATTTTGGAAAAGGTTTGGAATCGTTTACATCATTCAACCATTTGATTGTGTATTATTGCTTGAGACACTATTTAAATCGATTGGGGGCAGGCACCTGGATTTGTGCAATTGCGAGTACAATTGTTTTTGCGTGGAATATAAAAGAATATGATTATAAGTATGAATTATTTCTTCCAATTGTTGAGATTTACAAAAACTCAGGTGCCATCAATAGTGCGCAGTATGAAGCGTTTCTCGAATTAAAAACTCAGAAGAAAAATCTTGCACTCTGTTTGCGAAAACCAAGGATTTCGTGCTCAAACCATGTGGAAAGTTTTCATTCCCATAACAATGCAGTTATGTCAAGAGTAAAGTCATATGCAGGTAAAATGAATGAAACATTAAATTATATAATTGCAAGAGCAAATCAACTTCGAAAACCAGAGAATGAATGCGCATTAAAACTCTTTCGAAAAAACAAGAAGAAAAATGGGTCTATGAAAGAGGAGAATCGTTGTAAAACAATGATATGCCAAAGGTGCCAAGACAAAATGAAGATTTGGGAAGAGAAATATTTGACAACAATCCCTTGCCAGCACTGTGCCCATTTATATACAACGATAAGTCCACCTCCAGCCCTTAAATTCCACAAAATCAAAAAAGGAGGAAAATCTGAAATTGTGATTTCAGAAGTTGATAATCCAAAAGTGGCCGACCAGGCAAAATAACCTAATTACTCTTATTTTGAGTTCACTTCCACCATTTCGTCTTATGATAAAACAAAATCATTCATTATACTAAAATTTATCAAAGTTTGAATAATGAAAAAAAAAATATACCCTACGTTCCCAACTTCTGGAAAACGTTTTTTCACCCTTAGGATCAGTTTCAGCCACTTTGGGAATCTCCCAAACTTTGATATTTTGCATTATGATAGAGAAACGTGTCTAGTTTAACGCACAGTTGTTTTAAAGGCAAATGATGATATCACATGAAATTATCAAATTATCAAATTTTGAAGTACCAGTCCAAAGGGTTAATTAGATCCTACACAGATGTGCGATAGTGAAACATATGTGTTCTTGATTTGAGAAGTCCTACTGATAGAGGTATGAATCTCACAGCTTTGTGTGAGTGTGTCTGACACTTGTATAGAGTGGAATATGCGCCGACATATATTATATAATAACATGTAGTTGATAATTATGAAAAAATAGAATTTGATGCGAATGATATTGAAAGTTGTTTTGTAATTTGATATTTTTCTTATATGTGTTAATTAGTAAATGGCTTGTTTGTTGTGATCGTACTGTGAAAAATGAAAGGTATTTTAAATTAAAAAAATGAGATTTTGAGATATCTCTAGAATTAAGAATTTATTATGTATTTGACTTTTATATAACTATGTGTAAAGGATCTCGATGTCTATATGCTTTAAATAAAATTAAATAAAATGAGATAAAAAATTAAAATGGACAAGAAGATATATGGAAATGTAATTTGTATTGTATTGGTTGTTAGCAAAATGCTTTTAATACAGATTTAAGGATTTGGAATGGATTTGAAATTAAATGATTTTTATTCAAGGAATAATAAGATTTTGAACTGGTTTTTATTTTGAGAATGTAAACTCCTTCCATAGGATATGTATTAGAAAGATCAATTTTAAACTTTTTGAAAGAATTGTTTTTTTGTTGAGTGATTTTCTCTCATTTGATAATATTTTTAAGTTGGCGTATCTTACGCCCTTCCAAAAATATGTATTAGAAAGATCAATTTTAAACTTTTTGAAAGAATTGTTTTTTTGTTGAGCGATTTTCTCATATTTAATAATATATTTAAGTTGGCGTATCTTACGCCCTTCCAAAAATATGTATTAGAAAGATCAATGTCAAACTTTTTGAAAGAATTGTTTTTTTGTTGAGTGATTTTCTCTCATTTGATAATATATTTAAGTTGGCGTATCTTACGCCCTTCCAAATATTTCTTAAAAATTTAAATTTGTCTCATCTCCTACTCTTAATTTAAAAAAATTTCAAAATCCATAATAGTAAACATTTCTTATTTTTATTTAAATCTGAAAAAAATAAATTTAAACAATTTCTCTACACACGACGGTTTCGGCGGTTTTCAGAATGGTTGACAACTGAATTCATCAGGATAATGTCGGTTGGGGTGCCCTTCTTGGCCTCCTGAGTACTCACCAAGATACCCCCAGCTCCCGCAAAACACCTCCCATAGGTGAGCATTAACTGATGAAGTTATTGACAACTTTATCTGATTTTTTTCTTTGTTTTTTTGTTAAGATTTCTTAACCAAAGACTCGAAAACAAAACTTCGCTTCAAGTTGCTGTCTTCCCAGTTACTCTGTCGCAATCTTTTGTCTGATTGCGTGCAAAGTTCTGCTCCTTTGAGACTTTGCCCGACAGATGCATCTGGGAGACAGCACCCAAGCAGCTTATCGCTTCAAGTTGCTGTCTTCCCAGTTACTCTGTCGCAATCTTTTGTCTGATTGCGTGCAAAGTTCTGCTCCATGAATTATCAAATATGTGCCATTTCAGGAGAGATAACAAGCTCATGCCTCCTGGAATGGCGGATTGTTCAACAATCTTCTTCTGATTGCAGAACTTTCAACCGACAAGAGTGCACAATACACTCTTGTCGGTTGAAAGTTCTGCATTCAAGTTATGAATGGGGAACTTGATATCATTCTGGGAGACATGCAGTGACAATGTCTCCCGGAATGAGACATTGTGACCGACAGGAGTGTATTGTGCACTCTTGTCGGTCAAAGTTTTGCAATCACATTCTGATTGCAGAAGATTGTCTCATTCTGGGAGACATTCAGAGGCAATGTCTCCCGGAATGAGACACTGTGACCGACAAGAGTGCACAATACACTCCTGTCGGTCAAAGTTTTGCAATCACATTCTGATTGCAGAAGATTGTCTCATTCTGGGAGACATTCAGAGGCAATGTCTCCCGGAATGAGACACTGTGACCGACAAGAGTGCACAATACACTCTTGTCGGTCAAAGTTCCGCATTCAAGTTATGAATGGGGAACTTGATATCATTCTGGGAGACATGCAGTGACAATGTCTCCCGGAATGAGACACTGTGACCGACAAGAGTGCACAATACACTCTTGTCGGTCAAAGTTCCGCATTCAAGTTATGAATGGGGAACTTGATATCATTCTGGGAGACATGCAGTGACAATGTCTCCCGGAATGAGACATTGTGACCGACAAGAGTGCACAATACACTTAATGTTTTCAAATTTTCAGATTTAAATTTAATCTTTATTTTCATCATCATTTATAGTCTTGTTCCTTTATACAGTTATAATAAATTATCGTCAGATTCTAATATTTAAGATTCTTACTACTCAATTCAATATAATTATGTTAGTCACTCATATTCAGGAGAATAATTTAAAAATCTATAGCTCATATTTTGATAGTTATATATTTAGATGATATATATTGCAATTCCGGTTTCAACACGATCAAATGCCAAACCAAGACAAAATATATATGAATTTTCAAAATATCGATTTACATTAGAATCTATATCTAATTTTATCAATACACAAGTAGTGAATGTTCAATACATCTTTGAGCAACGTGAATAGCACAATTTTATAGGATTATTAGTTGATTATATAAAATATAAGCCAAATCGAATCTGCTGTATAGTACTTTAGTTTATCATTGAATGTTAAATGTGTTCATATAAATATTTGAGTCAGATATCGCATTTTCTAATTTCAAAATTTATCTCATGAAGTTAGAATTTATTTGATCATACAACATCATGTTAGTCAAACCAGAGTTCAATGGCGATTCTAAAATGGAACAAATGCTTGTTTTATCAAAATGTTAAAATATTAATCTAAAAAACTTAATATCTAACCAAACCATTCTAGAATTATTATATACAGGTATGGGCAATCTAAATGCACACGGAATTCGGAAAATTAAAAAGAATATTTATGAGATTATTAAATCTTATGTAATTCAATGAAAAGTAGATAATATGAATATCTATAGGCTATATATCAACATATGAGTTTTTGGTTTGACCAATACTATACTAATGTGATCAAATTAATCTGATTTCTTAGATTTTCATTTGAAGCATTTGCAGTAGTAGGGGTACCTTTATATATTAACATATTAAAAAATTGCGCTCCGATTCGCAGTTTCTTCATGATTTTGAGATTGCATTAGATTTCGCGATGCAGAAAAAAATCACTTTAGATTCCCGTCAAACTCTAAGTATAAGCATGTCTCTATATGTAGAAACTGTCTGCGCTATTTATTTCCCGGCTCAAAAAACCACGGTGTCTGTGTGAGGAAAATACCCATTTTAGGACCCTGGGTAGGGGGGTCATGAAAATTTTCCAAGAGTTGGAAATATAGGGTATTTTGAAAAAAAATTATTCATGATCAATTCATGATTTAACCAGTTCCTTCAAATTAGGAGAGCATATTCAAATATAATCGCTCATTAAAATCAATTTTTATTTTTTTTTTTAAATCGAAATTATCTCATCATAAACCATGCAAACTGACTATTTGTTCTTATCACCATGTTACCAATATCAGAATTGTCTTTACAGCCAAAATTTCGCTCGATAAAAGTCCATCCAATAGTGAGATAATTGAGCAACGAACATTTTTCCATATCACAAAAAACCTCCCCTCATCATTACATACACACAAGAAAGTCTCGAAGCCGCCCTGGGTGCATTTATGAACCCTCTGACACCTAATGAAGCTCGTATCGAAGCCGACAGCTTCATCAGTAGCTGGAAACGTTCAGAGGGTGCTCTTCCCTTAGCAATTGACATTTCTCAGAAGACTTCCAACGCGAACTTAAGGTATATTGCAATTACAACAATCAAATTTCAGATTATGATGATACATCACCAATTAGGTGAGGAAGAATACCAACAAATTTTCAATATCATGGTAACCATCCTTTCTAATGCAGCAACAAGCGATGAAAAGACCGTAAATGTTGTTTGCTCAGTTATAAGTTTAATATACATTTTCTATCCACCCTCATTATCAAGTGTTTCCCAATTTGATGCGAATATTTTAGCAATTATCTTCAACAATTTCCTCGATAACAAAGCGAATTACTCCGAAAAGGGTATCACATACGATGACCAGATTATTGAACTCCAAGAACTCATTTTCAATGTTTTATCAAATTGCGACTTATCTCCTAACTTCTTTAATCTTTTATCCAACTTTTACAGCATCTATGCTACAGACTCTCTTCGTTGCCTCATTCCTTTACTTCCAAAAGCCCAAGAAGCCGTAGATTATCCCGTATGTTATTCTGCGATCACCGCTTTTTACGAGAACCTTCTTAAAACAGATCCTCTCAACCTTGATGACTCAGATGACAAAGAATTTATCAATGTTATCATTCAAGTAATGATAGCAATCTCCGATCGCTTAATTAACCAGACAACCATCTCAGAAGTTGATTTTTCATTATCATCATTCATCATGTCAGAACTTATCGACTACGAATTCGACGAAAGCATCGATGCCGAGTTTTTACAACTAATATTAGCGAAATACAACGAATTAATGCAGATAATGGCCCAAGATCCAGAAGAATTCTTTGTCCTTATCGACAGAGGCGCCTGCAAATACAACAATTTCATAAATATGGGCGAACAAAATTATTTTTGGGATGAAATTTACACTTTTCTCAATACTCTCATAGATATCATTGACTCTCCGAACACAGATACAGAAGCGATAGTCAATGACGAGTTCTCTAAATGTTTTACTACGATTACAACAACAAATGAAGAAACAGGAATACAAGGGTTGAAGCAATACTTCCTCAGTAGGCTTGCTAACCTCACTGAAGGTGTATTCTTCGCTGTAGCTTCTTGTTCTCCGCAATTAATCACTGAAATTGCGCCAACTTTCGCTGCCCAGCTCCCTGAGCTTTCAGAACATCCACATTGTATCTTGAGATTCATCTCTAAGTGCGGATTTTGCACGCAAAGTAGTTTTGAGTACTATATTCAGATTGTTTACCCGATTTTCCAGGAAAATCCTACAATAGAAAACGCTATGATCATTAATAACATGATCTACGACATGAAGCAGCAGTTTATTAACAACAGCCAAGAAGTTGTGAACCCTATTTTGCTTTGGCTTCCAGATGTCGATCCACAAGTCACAGCACCTCTCATAAACGGCTTGCTGCACTTATCCCTCAAGCTAGGTCTAGAAGGAGAGGCTCTCACAGACTTTTTTTCTAGTCTACTAGGAATAGTCTCATCGGCGGCGGTTTCTATCGTCGGAGAGGGAAGTCCCTCGAATTTCAAGTCACTTTTGCGGTACTCCACCACACTTATGTTCCCATCTCCTATGGAGCCATTGCCTGGGGACAAGACGTACATTGCTCCCCCGCAGCCAGTTATTGATTTCTGCGCTCAGGCGTTTGGGAGAATTACAGATGCGTGCAATTCCTTCTGGCTAGCGGCCAATGACGATGTGCAAGTGTATCTGTGCTTGCTAATCATGAGAACATTGAAATCTAATTGGATAACTGAAGATGATATTCCGATAATCACGAATTGGCTTTCAAACGTATTATCTGTTAATCCAATTCCATTGCATGTTCATCTATTAGCACAAGTGTGGAAGCATCCAAGCGCTCAGACCCCTGCAACAATTCAATTCTTAAATTCTTTGCCAGAAATGAATCAACTCCCTGAACTGATGCAGACAGTGATGAAATTCCTTACAGCACTAAGTACGCAGTGGCCACTCTTCTTTTCCGAGATAAATCTGTCGAATCTTTTAGATCCACTTTCATCTCCTCTTGAATCCATCGTAGAACTCGGTTTAGACCTAGCGCTTAGTGTTGTACATCGATCGGAATCGGAGTATTTCTCGCAATCCCTCCTCCAAGTCGTGAGAGACGGAATTTTCGGAAATTTCGACCACAAACTTCGTCCGAAAGCAATTCACGTTCTCCTCGTCATTGCTAATGATAGCCTTGGAGCGAATGTTGTTCTGGACGCTTTGATTTCAGTGATTCCATTCAGAGATGAGAACACACAGATGATAGAGAATGTTTTGAATTCTATAGACAATTCTATAATGAATGACAAGCAGGAACTGACTCGCGCAATCAACGTAATGTCTGAGTCAATAGGACGTGTTCTTGCTAAAACTAGTGGTTGTTAAGATGTTTGTTAATATATATTTGATTTTTTTTATAAACAAAATATATTTGATTTTGATATTTATATGAGAATAGGGTTTTGCAAAGTGGCACAATGTTGCAAAAATTTCCCTTTTTTGCCCTTTGTCCATTCAATTTTACGCCCGTAACTGGTACGAATCCTCGAAACCCGTGCCAGTTTGCAAAACCCTATATGAGAACTTTTGCCTCAATTTTGAGAACTTTTGCCGCGGTTTTGCCTTTTACGGAATTTGACAGGCAAAATTCACACCCATCATTGGCAATTTACAGGCAAAGTTACTCAATTTTACAAGGATATTATATTTGATTTAATTTATAAAAGTAATTTCTTTGATTTTTTTTTATAAACAGAATATTTTCCTTAATGATGCCCACTCATAGCATATTTATAAGGCTCTTGTTTGGAGAAATAACGACTGGATTCTCCAAATTCAAAGGTACGGACACTCTTTAACCTGTAGCTGGAGTTTATGACCAAAAATTTAGTTAGAAGTGAGTTTCTGTAACTTTCCAAATTCCAAAATATAAGCTTCTCCAATTTTGTATATATAATTAACTTTAGAGACCAACAAGCTTTTTTTTATACCAATCACTCCAATTAAATCTTTCTCACTACTAAAGTAATCCAGAATTTAATATACACAACAAGTATATTGATAAGATAAATATCTATTTTATATAAATTAAAGAAATATAATTTTTGAAAAATAATATCTCCAAATTGCCTCGTTAGATTTCCGCAACTCCATGCATATGAGTTTCATAGCAGGTGATAAGCATATATACATTAGCAAAATTTTCAATTGAAAACTGAGCTAGAAATTTATCTGAACTATCTTTCTTGATTCTATGAATATAGATCAAGGATCACACATGGTTGATAATGGTATTAATTTTTATTTTCAAAAAAGTACTTTTAGAGAAAATTTTGAATCTTTTATTCAAAATCACTTTTGATAGTGATCTCGATATATAGTATGAAAAAAATATTAAAGTTCCACACTTAAATTCATTAAAACCTCAATAATCGAGTTAATATTTGATGGTTTAACTAACATGATGAACAGTTGGAGGATGCACTATTTCAGAAAGATGTGACTGAGTTTGAAATCTAAATCGATGCAAGTTTCATGCAACCAGAGAGTGCTTTCGTTTCGATCTACGATAAGCCATATCTTTGAATTGAGTTTGCACTTTTTGAAATAGCATTACAATTTTTGAATTGTAAAAAATGCGTTATTTTATTTAAAAAGTGCATAAAGAATGATACCATTAATGAGGGCTCAATTTTTTCCTCCACAGAATAATCCGGTTCATTTCCTCTCTGTAACTTCACATCGAACTTCAATATCATAATGCTTATAATTTCTATATGTGTTGCTTCAAGAATTGATGAATACAGCTACTCAGAAGACGGAAAAACCCTTATAAAAGTCACAAGTGGTCCATCAGATCTTAGTATATCAGATAATTGCGAAATTATATCAAACAGTTGCTTTGAAAACTTGGCGACATTACAATCTTTTTCTTTTAATGGTAATCCTAACCTAAAAATAATTGAAAAACAAGGTTTTTCTCACTGCACCGGTCTTAAAATTATTAATTTATCATCATGTGCTAAACTTACAACAATTTCTTATCGTGCGTTTTATCAATGCAGTAGTGTTTCAAAGATACTTTTACCTAAAGGACTTAAAGAAATACAAGAAAGCGCATTTTACAATAATTCTATAGAAGATATTACAATTCCTTCATCTGTTGAAAAGATTGGTGCATTTGCATTTCAAGATTGTTCAAAACTAAAAATAATTACTTTTGAGGAAAGTTCGAATTTAACTTCTTTAGAAAGAGGAGTTTTTGCGGGAATTCATTTAGATATTTTTGCAATTCCAGAAAATGTCCAGAAAATAAGTGGATATACATTTGGCAATAATAGATTTTCAACGTTTTCAATTCCGAGTTCCAACAAATATTTAAAATTGGAAAATAGTATTGTTTATTCTAAAAACCAAAGCATTTTATATTTTATTAAGAACAAAGATATCAATACATTTGATTTCCTAAAAAATGTCACAACTTTAGGAGAATATTGTTTTTATGGATCACTTCTTCCTTCAATAAAAATTCCAAGTAGCGTCAAAAAAATTGAAGATTATGCTTTTTGTAACTCAAGTTATTTAAAGACTGTTGAATTTTCAGGTTCTTTTGATTTCATTGGTTCTAATATATTTGATGGTTGCGACAATCTTCAATATATTAATTTCACTAATTCATCGATGATTGTTGACGCAGATTCATTCATTTCAAGTAACAATAAAGCAAAGATGAAATTTACATGCAAAAATTTATTTTCTTCTAAGGCAATTGAAATAGGAACAAATGTTTCAGTTTCATATCTGGGAAATCAAGATCTGTATATTGACAAAAATGCACTGATTATGGATTTTGCACAAACAACTATCTATGAATATTGGGGGTACAACATCAGTGGCATTACAATTCCTGAAAGTATTTCAGCCATAAATTCAAGAGTATTCGAAAATTCAACAATTTCTTATATACGATTTGCATATAAATCAAAACTATCAGAAATTGGAGAATATGCATTTAAAAACTGTTCAAACATAAGTACAATTAACTTCACAACCCAAAATAATTTTTCTATAGAGCCATCAACATTTGAGAATTGCATTAAATTAGAGATAGTGTTTAATATTATAAATATTTCAGATCGTTGTTTTTATGGATGTTCTAATCTGAAAAACATTACAATTCGAGATGCTGCCACATACATTGGAGTTCGATCATTTGAGAATTGCTGTTCATTAGAGAGTATTACAATTCCATCAGGCATTAAAACCATTTCAGAATATTCATTTCTTAACTGCAGCGGGCTTAAATCAATTAGCTTCAAAAGTGGAAGAGACCTAACTAATTTCTCAATCAATTCAATATCAGAGTGTAGTTCACTTCAAAACATCAGTGATTTCGATTCACATAAATATAAATGCATGAATAATACTATTTACTACAAAAATGGCACAAGTGGCACAGAACTTGATCTTATATATCATTTGAGTCATTCAAGAGATGAAGTATTAATACTAAACTGTAATGTTATTCGTAATTATTCATTTAATCACAGCTACAATATTGTTAACATCAGTATTGTACCAAACAGTGTTTCGTTGATTGAATCAAATTCATTCAACAACTGTTCAAATCTCAAATACATTAACTTCCCTTTATCAGTTCAAACAGTTGAAGTTAATGCATTCTTTGATTGCAAATCTATTCAATGTCCAATTCGCATTATGAACAGAACTATCGAGTACCTTAAAATGATCAATGAGTCAGGAATTTCATTGAAACTCATTAACTCATGTAAACCAACTCAAAACTTCGATCAAGAAGTAATTTTCTCGAATAGATATATCCGTCGTTAGTTCACTTAACCATATTTTGTTCTGAAGATTCAACACAGAAGGATATTTATTTGATACCATCTAGAATCATGACATTTTCGAATTTATTTTTTGTTATTTTTCATTTTATAATAAGGAATGGCTTATTAACCATTTTCTTTTATATTGTAAATAATTTTATTTGATTCAATAATCTTTTTTTAGGGTGCACTTACCACTTTCTGCCATAGCAGCAATATAAAGGACTATATCGTGAATTATAATAACTTTTTCCTGACTAAAATTATCAACTTATTAGCTTAGAATATTGGGACAAAAAGCTAGAATGCCTAAAAAATTGAGAGAATGTCATACAGTGGTAAATGCATAAATAAGAGAATGAGAGTTGTGATTTGTAGTCGATGCCTTTGCATATGAAAAGATCACAGTTTTTCATGGAAGATGGATTAAGAACACTTTCGATATTAAGAGACTGATAGAATGAAATGTGTGTCCTAGACAATACCAAACTGAAAACATTCTGTTCGACACTTTTGACGCAAAGATGGATGCTGATGCGCTTGAGAGATGTGTAACATGTAAACGCTAAATGGCTGACGCACGTGATAGAGTTGTCTGGGATTATGATGTCAACATATTTTTTTACATTTGAAGAATTCTGACTTTATGTAAAAAGAAGAATGTAATTGAAGAAGAAAGAGGGAATCAGATAAGATGTATACATTATGCATCCAGTTAAGATTTAGTTTCTGATATTCTGAAAAGACCATACTGATGGAATTGTGTTATTTAAAACTCGAAACAGTTATAAAAATTTATTAATAAAATAAAATATTTTTTTTTATTTATTTAATTTCTTATGTTAGAGCATTCTTGATGTATCCCATACTTAAGACGAGATTTCTGCACTTGCCCATGAACTTGACAACAGCATTCTTTCTAACTCTGTCTGCCTCGTCCAAATCTCCCTTTTGCAGGGCTTCGAAGAAAGAGCCAAGTTGGTCCTTCAACTCCTGAGGAACATCTCCATCTCTGAATACTGCAAAAACAAATCCAAGTTTAGCCTTTGAATCGCTGATGGCCTTCTTAACTTGTCCTGACTTCTCTGGCCTTGACTCCGCGAGTTGTATGAAGTGGACGAATCCATTTGCAAGAGCCTTTGAGTCATCAGGAACTTCATCGATTGTTGCTTCCGGACTCTTCCTCACAACTGGCTCTGGCTGCATCTGCTGCTGCGGAACAGGCATTGGCTGTGCAACGGCTACCTGTGGTCTGTACGCTGCTGCAGCTGCTGGAGGAGGTGTGATGATTGTTGGCTGTGCGGCTGGTGGTGGAGCGGCTGCAACTGGTTGCTGCGCGCCCATCATTACAGGTGCAGCAGTACCCATTGGATATGACGGAGGCTGTGCTGGCTGAGGGACGCATGGAGGGACGACGGAGATTGACGGTGGAGCGCGGATTTCCGGTTTGGATGTTGGAGGAGGTGCTGCAATCTGTGGTGTTGCTGCTCCGTACAAAACAGGTGCTGCTGGAGCTGTTTGTGGTGTTGAAACTGGAGTGAAAACAGCTGATTGTGGTGCTGATTCAGGTACTGGATTTGCAACAGGAATAAACTGTTGCTGGTGGCTCTTAACTTGCTCTACTGTTGGTGGTGGAGGTGGAACATAGTTAGTTGGCCGGCCAAGTTGTCTTGGATCGTTTGAATTTGGTGGAGGAACAGCAGATGGCTCGTGAGGAATTGCAGCTGGTCTTGGTGGAACAGTCGCTCCTGCGGCTGATGGGTAGTATACGCCTGGTCCTCTTGGTTGTGGTGAAGGAACTGAATTTGCTACTGATGTAGGGAAGTAAACTGGTTTCTGAGCGGAAGGAGCTGGAACAACAACAGATGGAGCGGCTGCTGGTGGTGGAGCATTGACAGTGGGCTGTGGAGTGGCTGTTGGAATAAATACTGAAGGAGATGCTGCTGGAGCTGATACTTGCTGCTGCGGCTGGACAGAAACAACTGATGGAGGATTGGAATAAGTGTTCTGTTGTGGAATAAACGTTCCATGTCTTGGGATCTGTTGGGAATTAACGTTGCGCTGTTGCTGTGGCTGCTGCTGGTATGATGACTGCTCTCCGACAATGGCGGATTTGAGGTCTGAAAGGATTTTGTCCTTTGGAAGTGCGGATAGGAATCTGATTGCCTCTTCCTTGTGTCCGGACTGGACAATGTGCTGAAGGAATGACTGAGCAAGAGGTGCAATGACTGATGGTGCCTTGTCGCCGGCCATTGCGCAGAGTTTTTCCAGGACAATTAAAACTGTTGATGCGGAGTTGGCCTCGTTTGGAGAGTTCTGCTCGTAGATCTTGAATAAGCATCTCTGGACCATCTCGTAGTTCTTGGCCGCAACAAAAATAACTAATGCGGAGTTATAATCGTTGAGTTCAGCAACAATTCTGTTTCCAAGCATTCCGCAGAGCTCTTCGAAATCTCCCTCAGCGAAGGAACAAAGAGCAGCGAAAATCTCGCGCCAGTCCTTTGCTTTGGCATATCTGACGAAATTGTCAAGATTATGGCCAATGATGTGGGAAACGATCCTTGTCAATGGTGACGATGTCTGTTTGATGTATCTCTGGATCGTGTTGTCAAATAATTCCTTTGGTCCGGCAGATGCGACCAACATTGCATCGGCGTACCTTCCTGCGGCAAATGCACAGTCTACGGCCGCTTCTAAGTTACTGGAAATAACCGCCTGAGCGATAACTCTACCGGTTTCATCGTCTTTTTGTTTCGGAAGTACTCTGAACGGAGTAAAGAACTCTGCTCCGCCGAATAACTCATCGCCTGTCTTTGTTGAGCTTGGAGGAGCACCAAACAATCCGCCTTCTGTTGATTGGGAGAAGAGATCTTCTTGAGAATTAGTTCCTGAGAAGAGTCCGTCATCCTGTGATGTGAAATTGCCGAATAATGAGGATGCTGTTGGGGCTGGGGCTTCTTTTTTCGGTGACTTTGGCTTCTCAGCTTGTTTGGCCGGTTCGGATTGTTTAATCTTAGCGACAAAGTCCTCTTTGTTGATGCCGAGATCAGCGAGGATTGCATCTTTGAAGGTATCTGAGTCCATCGACTTCTGGATGATCTTCCAAATGTTGTTTTCGGATGGATTAGATTGAGATGCTTCGGCTTTACGGGCTGCAAAGCCTTTCATGTCCTTCTGCTCGAGGGCTTCAACGAATTCTACGAAGTCGTTGATCTCTGTAATTGGTTCTTGGTGAAGGAATGAAGAAACTTTGTCATCCGAGTATTGGAAGACACGGCCGTCGAAGGCAACATCGACACCGGATCTGTTGTAGTGGAAGTGTGGTTGTTTAAGAATTGTCTGTGCGCCGATTGATGGATCTGCGAAAGAAAATAGATGAGTAGAGTTAGATGTAGAGGCAAGGACGGAGCCATGTATGTAAGGTGACCATTTGACTTGTGTAAATGAGGTATTTGGCTCGAAAACTGTTGCTAATGGTCCGGATGATTCGACATCCCAAGCAATGACTTTGCCGTCGCGGCCGGCTGAGAGAAGGATACGATCATCAGCGGCTGGCCACTCTAATTTGGAAACGCCGTTGCTGTGGCCGTGTAATCTCTTTAATGGGGCTCCAAGAGAACGAAGATCCCAAATAAGGACAACACTGTTACGCTGATCACTGCTGGCGGTTGCGAGTTGGGCCATATTTGTTGGAGAAAAGATAATATCAGATAATGGGAATTTGAACTGAGAATCAGCGAATGTATGTGTGGAACGGCCAACACGGATATCCCAAATTGTAGATAAACCGGTAGAATCGCAAACTGCAAAGATGGAGAAACAATTCTTATTTTGATGCCAGCAAGCGCCTGTAATGTCGCCGCTGTTGCCACGCGTCATGTTTACATCAATCTTCTTGGCGTTTGTGAAGTCTGAAACATCCCAAACGTTAACAGAATTGTCAGCAGTTGTAGATAAAAGAGCAGCTGGTTGATTCGGGTTGATTTTGATGTTTGTGATGACTGAGTTGTTAGCTGTGATTTGTCCAATTGGCTTTTGTTGATCTAAAACTGGATTGTAGAGAGAAATTGCGCCATTTTGGTGACCTGCAGCAATATAACCCATTTCTAGATTAGGACGACTAGCCCAATCAATTGCTGTAAATGGAGATGTAGCAGTGTAGTTGCTAACGGTCTCAACACTTGGATTAAGAGAAAGGAAATTAAATTTCTTTAAACTTAAAACTGGGTTTATGCTTGAACCAGCTGGAACAGCTTGTGCAAAAAGACGAGACTGTTCTCTAGCTGGGCACCAAGCAAGAAGTGAAGATTCCTGACTTGACCAAACTTTCATTTGAACTTTTTTTTTCTGCTGACGTCAAAACCGTCTGTTCATTTTATTTCGGAGAACCCGGCTAAAAAGCCCTAAAATGTATTATAATTCCAACAATGAATAAAAATAATCTGGTTAGAACTCATGAAATGATACTTTTCGATTTACTCGAATTTAATTTGTATCATAATTATCAAAATATCCTTTCACTAATGACAATAGAAGGCTAACATGACTTATCTTGGCTGAATGGTTGGAATTTTCTTACAATATTTTTCATTTTTAACAAAAATACATCATTTAGAAAGAGACAAGTAAAATTCATCTAATTCATACATTGTATAGCTCATTGGTATAACATGTCTACTTGAATTTTGATCATTAGTATATAAATTCTATTAAAACGATTTTTATTACGAAATAACTATGAAAGCTGGATATTTCGTAATAAAAATTCTGGATTTCTAAATTAAAGATTTTAGTGTATGTTTATTGGGCTAATATAAAAGAATTTTACATTGCAATGCTATTAACATTACTTTTTATATAAACACTCTTTTATTGTAATTTGTAAAGTATTCAATTCGTTTACAATTTTAGATATCGCCGATAAAAATTTTTTTTAAAAATGCTAGCATCATTACTTTCTATTAGAGCAACACGTGAAGTTAAAACAACATCCTACTTCCAAGGAATCATTTCCTTTGGTTTTAAAGAGAATGCAACATATAGTGTTAATGTATCAACAAATGCTACTAAATTGATCGTAGGATGGATGTCAAAATCAGAATGGAAGAATGCCACAGCAATGCGGATCAATACAAGCGCAAATAATTTCGTCGAAAATTATAATTTATCTAAAATTTATCAAATTCAATCTTTTGACAACACAAATCCATATTTACTCTTAGCTGGCAACATCTCTGTTAAAGATGCATACTATCTTTACGTATTTGCGTTCGATGATAAATACAATTTTGTAAAAATTGAATATAACCTCACAAATCCGAACGGCTTGCTTGATTTCAGATACGAAAACCTTCTTATAACAGCTCCAGTAATGGCGGCAATTTCTGGAATTCTTCTTGCATTTTGGCTAATTAATTGGCTTAGAAACTTTAATGTTCAAATTTATATACATTACGTCTTTACAGCTGTCTTCATTTTAACATTTGCCAATAATGTAGCATATGTAATATCCGTTGCTCGTAATAATGTTTCAGAAACAAACATATTCCCATTTATTATCTTATTCTTCTCTCATGCGTTCAAAGAAATCATCTTCTCCTTTGCAATCGTACTTGCTGCATCAGGATGGTGCATTCTTGTGGATAGTATCAAGATTTACGAGTTAATTATTTGCATTGTACTTTCTTCAGCTTATATCGGTGCCAAACTTGTTCAAGAGTATTGCAACTTCGAAGGGGTTGCACGCATAATTACAGATGTCATCTTCTTCATTTCTCTTTCAGCTTATTCGATTAAATTAATTATTTACACACAACAAGCAAGTTTAATGATCTGGGCCCACATGATTGCCATCAGAAATGCAGGTATCGATCCAACAACAACACCAGTTCAAAAGAAACACGCAATGTACATTTCATTTGAAATTGCCCTCATTGTTTACACAATTTCCATACTTGTTAAGTTCTGTGTTGTCGAGTTTGGCCCTGTTGGATGGCTTAACACCTTCGTGGACCAAGCTTTGGACCAAGTAATTTCATTTATGCTCGCATGGATCTTTAGAATCAGAGATAGAGAGAATAATGGATACAGCGCTATAGAGGAGAGCATGGAGCACGTCGATGATATGCAACTCTCCGAAATTGAGGCTGCAACAAATAATGAAGCCGATCTTCACAATGGTATCGAGTGGAGACCAGGCATGCAGCTTCCAGGCCGTCCAAACATCATAACACAGCCATCTCAACAACAAATTACTTTAGAATCTCCGGATGGAGAGCAAAACTTGACTGCAACTAACATTACTTCAGAGAATACTACAGTGTGAGTAAAAATCTATTTATTTATTATGAAAATTTTAGATTAACTTTTTAAATCGATTTTTTTATTTATTCATGATTTTCTTCCAATTTTAATACGAAAAACCAATTAAATTGAAGAGTTGGAATTCAAATTTTCTTCAAAATCATAATACATATAAATCCCAAAATGAATTTTATTTAAATCAAAAGTATTGAAGAATTTAAAATGGATTTCAATAAAGCTTACCAGCAATAATTTATTTTTAAGCTTCGATTATTCATTAATATAATACGTTTTTTGAAATGAGTTCTCAGATTGAGATCAAAATCAGAGATATTTATTCAAAAACATATAAATTCATGGCTGACCCACAGCAAACTATTCTTGATTTGAAGAAATCTTTATCAAAACTGATTTTTCAACAACCAGCAAATATTAAATTATCATTTCATGGGAAAATACTAAAAAACGAAAAGGTACTTGGTAAAATAGATCTAGGAAATTCAGGTTATTTGATATATTCATTAACAAAATTACCTCATCGCAATATTTCATTTCCACCCCTGCGAGCATTAGAATTACGAGATATAATATTGGCAAAACTTGAAACAGAAGCATCTACCCCAAGTAGTCCAAATCCAAAAACTGATATTCGCGCTTTATTTAATCCACAAACCAATCCAATTCTTAATCAAGTACTATTAGCGAAGTCACCCGAAAATGTAGCTAAGAGTGATTTAGAAGTTATTGAAATTGTGGAAAAATCAGAGAATGAGGAAATTGTTCCAGAAAGTCCAAAGCAAAATGAAGCTGAGTTGCAAATCCTAAGAGAAAAGCAAGAGCAGTATGAACGAGAACAAGAAGCTGTTAAATCTCAAGCAATGAGTCAACTATCTCCAGATCAGAATAAATTCATTAACAAGCTATGTAGAAATTTTGGAATTGCCAAAGATCATGCTATTGAGTTATTAATGTTGAATAATATGGATGAAACAGCAACGATGAAATTTATAGCCAATAATGGACTACTACTTTTCTAGAACCACTGCATTTTCATTTGTTATACTATATTGTATTGCGGATTTCGACTCAAATTTAGACTTTACTCACATAATTTTTCGTAATTTATTCAATTGTAATTCTTGCATGCAATTTTATAGAATTTTGTTGATGAGGAACTAGTTAATCAACCAGCTGCATGTCATAGACGCAAATTCTTGCTTGTCATTGCTTCTTTTGAAATTTTACAATCAATTATTATTCAATTACGCTTTTAAATCAACATCATGCTGATAAGGCAAAGATAGCACTATGATCAAAATAAACATTTGCGGATTTCAACTGATTATTTGTTTATTCAATTTTATCTCAATTTTTTTTGTGAAGAGGATGATTATAAAAACCGTAAATATTCATATTTTTTTTGTCAATGTCTTTTGACATTGATTCTTTGCTAGCAAAGACGCCTCCGAGCAAGCCAAATATAACTGAAACAGAACAAAAACCAATACAGAAGACAAAACCATCCCACACTGCAAGCTATAAAGAGGAATCAGCATTTCGTAAACGACGACGTGACAGAGATAACGAAATTGCCCGCGTACAACAAAGAGTATCAGGCTTTAATGCTTCTTTAAGTGAAGCATGGCCTACTCTCTGCCAGCATTTTGGACAAAAAATAACCCAAGATGAATTAGTTTCAATTGCAGAAGCTATTAAGCCATATGCCCAGGTTAAACTTGATCGTGATGCACGACGACGAAAATCAGTCATTCTAAAATGGTACCAAGACAATTGGTCTCAAATTTCGAAATATATAAAATATGTCGTACTTGAAGACGAAGGATCATCCTCCTCCGCAAATACAGCATAATTGTTATTTTCTATCCTAATAAACATTATTTTTATTTACATGTTATTACTTTTCAATTTATTGTGAAATCAAGACGATGATCTTCTGAAATTTACCGAACCAAATAATTTCGTAAACGACCAAATAAGAAATAAGAAATAATTATATATAAATGATCAGAATTTGGTTAAAATAATGGGAAATATATTTCAATACTTCTATAAGAAATATATTAAATATAATATGTTTACATAATTAAACATGTTTTAAATAGAAAAGATTTCTGAGTTCAGAATTTTTTTGTGAAATTATCATCTATTCATTGAAATGAATATGGTTAATTTTTCATATATGCCTTATATTTCGTTATGACTAAAATTTCAATTAGCATTGAAAATCGAACCATTCTATTGAAACGATGGGTTTTGAAATTGCATGCAGCATTTTTTTGATAGAGGTGATTATTATATCAATTAAAACTTCACCTCACTTCCACCATTTCGTCTTATGACAGAACTTCCAATTGATGTAACACTTGAAGGAATTGTTATACTTGTAAGACGTTTACAACCAGAAAATGCAGAACCTCCAATTGATGTAACACTTGAAGGAATTGTTATACTTGTAAGACCAGTACATCTAGAAAATGCAGAACTTCCAATTGATGTAACACTTGAAGGAATTGTTATACTTGTAAGTCTATAACAAGCAGAAAATGCAGAACTTCCAATTGATGTAACACTTGAAGGAATCGTTATACTTGTAAGTCTATAACAAGCAGAAAATGCAGAACTTCCAATTGATGTAACATTTGAAGGAATATCATAGACTGATCCTTCAGGGCAGTCTGAAATTATAAATGGAACAAAGAAAATTAACATTGGAAAAAATTTAGTGAATTCAGAAGGGGAAAAAACGTATTTAATGATTCGGTCTTAAGATTTTTAAAAAAAATAATTACATTTCTAATAGTACAAATTCAAGAGTCAAATTGTGAGCTTTACAAAATTTTCATCATCATTGTAAAGTTTTTACAAGAAAGTTTTCGGGATTTTTTTTGTAAACTCAGAAAAAAGGGGGCGGTGCCATGTGAGGTGAAATTTATCATACACCGATTGGACCTTTTGCTTTCCCGAAAACATAGAATTTATATTGGGGGCCAAATATATGTGCATATATCTATACTAATCAAGCCATATTTACTCATATAGTATTGAGGAATAATGTGTTTTATATAAGATATGAATTTCAAAAAATTTGTTTTATTTCATTTTGAATACAATGAGGTATCTATATATATACTCTATATTGTGTTTGTAAACTCATTTTGGTCACATATCCATTTTTTAATCTGCATCTTATTTGAGATTTCAAATTTTTATCGACAATCATATATGATCACATCGGCATTTGGAGATACTTATCTTGTATCTCCAAATATCGATGTGATCATTGTATTTAATTGTATATTGACCAAGAGATTTCGATGCAGAATATTCAAAGTAGATAGTTTTTCCATTCTGTACGCATAGGTGCAGGGTCTATCACTGGCACCCTGCACCAATATGTGCAGAATGGGAAAAGCTTGCACTTTTACCTTTCGATGCGAATGTTGCAAACACTTTTCCCATTCTGCACATATATAGGCAGGGTCTATCACTGGCACCCTGCACCAATATGTGCAGAATGGGAAAAGCGCGCACTTTTGTTCTTCGATGCGAATGTGTCGGACATAATTCCTGATTTGCTCATATATTTGCAGGGTCTATCACTAGGACCCTGCACATATATGAGCAAATCAGGAATTGCTTGCACTTTTTCACTTGAATGTGATTCATTGAATTTCAATTCGAGAAAGGAGTTTACAAATGCAGGGTATTGTTCCTTTACCCTGCATTTGTAAACTCCTTTCTCGAATAGCTTGCACTTTTTTCAAAGAATGTTAAACATCGAATTTCAATTCGAGAAAGGAGTTTACAAATGCAGGGTAAAGGGACAATACCCTGCATTTGTTAACTCCTTTCTTGTAAAACCTTCCTCCAAAAAAATATAAAGATCACATTCTTCTTAAAACTCTCAAAATCTCATTATTTCAATCTTATAATCATAAATAAACATACTCTTTCTATCTAATATTTCTCTATTCCTTAATTTTCTTATGAAATTTGTTATTTTTTATTTAATTTTTAAAATTTTCAATTTTTTTGGATAATTTTATTCAATTTTATGATAATTTATTCTATTCTCATTATATAATAATATTGTTCATTTTTATTTTTTTAATTTTTCAATGCATACGATAATTTTTAATTCAATTTTTAAACGAATGTTTTGATGGGATGAGCTTACTGAGCATAGGCTCATCCCATCAAAACATTCCCTTAAAAACTCTGGCCTTCATCGAGGCCAGAGTTTACAATTCATCAGCTCAGAGCCAAGTTCCTCGACGGTCGTCCTCATTAGGCCCGATCCGAGAGGAACTTGGCTCTTCATTAAAATCACAAGCTCTGGCCATTGCTAAGGCCAGAGCTTCGCAAACCATCCTCGGGGCCGGTTTCCTCAAAGACCGCCCTGATTCGGGGCGGCCGGAGAGGAAACCAGCCCCGAGAGAGTTCCCATACGAAGCTCTGGCCCAAGCAAAGGCCAGAGCCTGCAAATACAATCCTCAGGGCCGAGTTTTGCGATGATCGTCGATCATGTCGACGGTCTCGCAAGAACTCGGCCCTGAAAGACATACAAATACAGGCTCTGGCCCTAGCAAAGGCCAGGGCTTCGCTTACTGTCCTCAGGGCCGGCTTTCTCAAATGCCGTCCTGATCTAGGGCGGCAGGAGAGGAATCCGGCCCTGGGAACATCCAAATACGAAGCTCTGGCCCAAGCAAAGGCCAGAGCCTGCAAAATACTCAATGTTCAACAATTACAAATCTCATGTCACCCAGAAAGCTATGAAGGAAGCCCTTTCTCTAGGTTAGGACTTCCTTCATAGCTTTCTGGTACTGAGTGGAGTGGTTTTGGCTTCCATTGCCGCTCACTCCAGTAAGATCACGAGATTGTACAAAAGCCACGGCAAGTGCATTCCAACACCATAAATACACTTGCCGTGGAATACGGTTGCGAGTGCCTGCTGCTTCAACCGAGATTTGCAGCAGACACTCGCAATGATAACTAAAATTCATCATAAAGCTGGGAAATGGGCCTTTTCTCAAGGTCAAAGCCCATTTCTCAGCTTTATGATATTGAAACGAGCATTTTGAGAGGTTATTACTGTTTTTCCCGGAATCATCTTGAGATTCCGGGAAAGTCATAGCAAGTGTAATCTATTAGCATAGATACACTTGCTATGACACATATATGCCAGCATCTGCTGCTTACCCCAAATAAGTAGCAGATGCTCGGCATCACATCTTGAGATCCTTATTATCTGCGCATTTTTCATTTTAATATATATAAATGTGTGTGTCTAACACAAGTCTATATGCGCCATGTAAAATATACACTAATACACACATATTGATCATAATTAATAAGATATCAAACTATAAAAACTGAGATATTACTATAAACTATATGTATTATTATTATATAGGTACCATACTATAAGGTCATATGAATATTATTGAAATTAGACACACTTTATATAATTTTATAATGTGAATAACTTGGGTCATAATTTTTTTTACGTAATTCCTACACGAAATGATCGGCATTACCCTAGTCTATCTGCGTGCAAAATACCAAGGAACAAATCAAATACTCACCATATCTTTTTTTAAAAAGGTCCAATCGGTGTATGGTGATTTTCACCTCACATGGCACAACCCCCAGAAAAAAGTAAAAAAAATATTGAATGTATTTAATGCTATACTTACGCCCATCTAACTTTAATTCAAATTTTAACAAAATGTAGTCACTTTTGAGATGCAGTGAAGCGGAGTATCAAAAGTGAATCTATTTTGGAATTCTTGTCTAATTCTAAATTTGTTGATTTGAATAGATCACAAAATTGAATAAACAAACCGAGTCGGTGCTCTATCAGCCTTTTTGCTGTGCTTTTGAGCAATATCTCCTCAAGTAATGACAATACTAGGCTATTCCAAGATCATGCCCTTAAAGTAGGCCAATTTTTCTCAGAAATTTCAGATCAAAATTATGAAATTTCTAAAATTTGGTTCTCTTTGACCAGAAAATATTACTCTACTGCTCTATCTCTTGTCATTACTTATAAAATTGTAAACTTCCATACTGTTTTAACTTTATTATTATACATGTACAACAGCATCATTGAATGAAGTAATGTAAATCTCTAAAAAAAAATAACCGCATTCTTCATTTCTCTTTTAACTCCTTGACACATTCTCCCTTCGTACTTCAAAAAATGGATGGCGTAGTCTTTTACACTATGTCACTGCATTCTTTATCTTTTATATTATATAATATCAAATCTCTTGGTCGAATTCAGTGTTGAAAGATGCGTATTTATAGTATCATGCGTATTCATGATAATATATGGAAAAATGGAAGATTCTTTCTCGTATATTTCCAAAATAAAAATAAAAACCTGAACCTACTGTTCAAAGTATATTTTAATTGTCAAAAATTTTAATTATAGTCAGATGGGCATAAGTACCATTTTAAGTCTTCGTAAACATTTCAGAAAAATGTTTTGTCACTTTTTCAGCTCTTTAAGGATACCCTTACGTGTCAGATTTTTTGCGCATACGAAGAAGTCATGCTAGACATGAGCTATAAACCTGAAATTTTAGCAACATATTTAAAACTTTTTAAACTACAATACACTTTAATATTCAAGAACAAAAATATTCTTTTTAGAAATTACATAATTATTTTATGTGAAATCTATATAAAAACATATTTTGCGAGCGTAACTTTTTTCTTTATAAGCACCTTATATGACTGATAAACTGTGAAGGCACATAATTGTTAATTCATAGAGTTGATATGTTTCCAAAATTGAGAGGAAATTTGAAAATTGAATACCCTTTCAATTCAATTTTCAAAAGATATCAGCTCCTTCAATAATTGAAGGACGATTTTGATCATTTGCTCTTAAAACAAGTATGCCATGGAGAAAAAAGTTACGCTCGCAAATCTGAAATATAACTATCATATAAAAAAATTAAATTTCTAATTTTTTACTCTATAGATATTATTGGCCACTTGTGTAATGCATAAAAGTTTATGTCATATGCATACATTTGGAAGTATGGGAGACGAGGGAAATTACTTCTATGAGGCACTAGGATTTTTAAAAATTTCTCTATCGGACTCACTATTCAATTTCTCGAAAATTAAAAAAAATCAATAATAGCTAAAATGTATTATGCATAACAAATTTTAATGTTACACGGTATTTTTTTGAACTTCATGACATGAATTTTCTTTATATTATTTTTTTTTGGATTTTCTATGATTTATGCGATAGGCTGGAACAACATTGTAAGTGCAATGATATCATTTATAGAGAAATCTAAAACTTCAGCATTCAGAACTCGCAACCACAAAAATATTCATTTGCTAAGTAAGTAAAGTTGATTAAGTTCGACACTTAGCTTTTATACGTAAAACCAAGTGTGTATTGTTATTTCTTGTTAAATTATTGAGAAAAAAATAAATTGTAAGAGAAACGATACTGATTATTGAAATAATATTGAGGGTAGCTGCAGATTTCTTCATTAACATGCCGGAAATTTGTTAATCTTGGTTTTCTATCATAAAATCTGTCGAAGAATCTAAAAACGGAGATATGAAATAGAGATCATGTAAATCTAGAGTATCCTGTCAGAAAAATAGACTAAGCATGTAACCCTTTTTTGGTCATAAACGAAACAATAAGAATTACCGAAAAAGTGACAAAACATCAAAAACAGGGAGGGGGTCTCAATTTTTATTACTTATATTATTTTACAATATTTATATAAATACTCTTTATAATATATTTTACTATAAAATTATACCTCAAATTCAAATATTTAAAATATTATTTACATAATTATCTCAAAATTATATTTTTATATATTATTTTTCATATGTATAAATCATATAATCTATATCTATGCAAATCTCATCTAAAATTTTTTGAAACAAACCGCTACCATTTTATAATGGTCCATCTTAAATTCATCATAAATTCTGGTACATGTTAGTACCAGAGTCTTCAAATCTCAAACACTCTGGTACCAACATGTACCAGACGCGAGTTTCCAATGCCCTCGTACGATTTTCTATTAAGATCTTCTTGAATGAGAAGGTCTTCATAGAAACTCGTACGAGGGCTTCTCTTTTAAATACTCTGGTACCTGCTGGTATCGGAGTCGACTTTACAGCCCTTTCCCCAATTTTGAAGCTGGGGAAAGTTTTCAAGCAATGAAAGGGAAGCTCTCGCTATGAGGTGAAAATCTAGAATTTTTACCTCATAGCGAGTAATCCTTTGTTAATTGCTTGAAAACTTTCTTCAAATTATCAAAATTTCGAGGAAAGTTTCCTTGCTTCAAAGTAGAGATGGAGCCCTTTGAGCCACTGCATATAGGTCAGTGACTCAAAATACTCCATCTCTACTAGAAATCGCCAAAATTTGGGTCGCAATCTTTGAAATGCGACGCAAGTTTTGGCAATTTCGCGAGGGACTTGCTCCATTTGGTGCATAGATTCACACTCTATGCACCAGATGGAACAATTCTTTCGCTGACAGCGGGAAACTTTGTCTGAATAGTTTAACATTCAGACAAAGTTTTCCGCTGTCAGAGAGGGAATGGAAGGGTAAGAGGTATATATTCATAATGTATACCTCTTACTCTTCCATTCCCTCAAGAAAGTTCAAAAACTTGGGTGCAATCAGTTCTGATTGCACC